CTTGTCTGTTTTCTCCCTCTCTGAAAGCACACTTCCACCATCATGGCAAGGACGATGATTCCACAAGTGTACCCGTCTCTTGCGACATGCAATGCCAACCGTCAGGGTCCAGGTCAAGGACCACACTGAAACAACGGTCGCTTTTCCTTCCAGGCCACACGGTTGCTCTAGAATTGCACTTGCTCAATCACGGTGAAAGGAGGCGTCTGGTGCATCGGATTGCAATAATTCCCGTTTTATCATTGAATCCAATCTCTAAAGAGTCCAATGGCCCCGCCGAAAGTCAGGTGCAGTGGCATCAAAGCAACGTGCGTCCTTGCCCAAAAAAGTGTAGCTTCCACCGTCCAAACAGAGTCGGCGAAGGGCGCAAAAGTGACCATGGCGACAAGGGGAATGTAATCCAAGGGATCTCAATGTGATTGTGGTCAGAAAGCCTTTAGAGCCGTCGCTACTGTCGTGGCTTTCGAAAAATCGTGCCCCCAAATTGATCATGTTTTACCAAACCGCGCTCCATGGTCGTGCATGGTCATGAGCGCTCGTATGCCGATGGAGCATCCAGGATGATGATGCAAGAAACGGCCTCGTTCGACTCAGTTGGTTCAAGCTCTCACCATCTCAGCCCCAGACCTTGCGCCCATGTGATCGCCTCAGTTCATCTTGCAGGAACCAACCTGTGCCCACCGGCAAAAGCAGTCTTGCATCACATGCTGATGTTCATGCAGTCCGGTTGTCTTGAGAAGGGAATGAGAGAAGAAGCTGCGTTTTACTCGTGCTAAACCGCGCACCTACAAGCTACTTGCATTATACTATCGCATTTGCATGCAACTGGTTTCGTCCACGGTTTTCTTGAGAGCTTCAACTTGGTTCTACCGTGGTCCCAACCTGCCTCCGAAGCCTCAAGCCGCCCGCTGCGACTACAGGCTACATGATGTGTGCATGCGGTGTATGCGAGAATGGGAGATAGCACTGTAGTGGACGAAAAGCGATAAAAACCTTAACGGAGCGGAAGTTGGGCGAGGGAGATGATGGTGTCGACACCGCATCCGACGCGTCAAGCATGATGATTTCGCTTCGCTGTTACGGGTACTGTCTTCGGCATCTCCATGTACCGCCAGAACATTCGATTCTATGCACCGCCTCCGTCAAGAGTTATGGTGTTTTTTCATCCGTGGGCCGGATTTTCGTGAGGCTGTGGCTTTTTCCATCTCATCACACTCACTCTCGCGTCGCCAGCATTGGGATTGTGTTCGAGATGCCCGAAACCTTCCGCTCTGTTCGCCACACATTCGTCCTTCCCATGCTTCAACGCTGTGCAGGAGGAAAATTGTGGGTTTAGGAGCCGCAAAGGAAGCAGACATTGTGCAGCTTCTCCTTTGCATTGGCAAAATCTGCCTCGTCTTCGGCCTGGCGCCGTCTTGATGCTTTCTGCTCTACCTCTGTGCGGCCGCTGTTCACAATATCCCTACGCGCGACCGTATGCTTGGATCTGGTTGAACAATGATTGGACAGACTTGACAAGTGAGCATTATGGGGTATTCATCTGGTTAAAGATTCTCCAGAAATGGAAGCACCTGGCTTTGAGGCAGCTGCGACAGTTGAGCAATGAGTACTGCCTAGGGCTCGTTCGACGCCGTGTCAACTTCTGCAACGAGGTTTTTACGGACAGTAGGACCGTCCAGTTCTTCAAGAGAGGGAACTCGCCGCATTTGGTGAATCAATTACGGTCTCGAAATAGGCTTCGCCTGTCGATAGAACCGCAGCTGCATTTGTTGTAGGCACGGGTTAATCTGCAGTTACCCAACCTCAAAAATTCTTGTTGGAAGACAACAGAGATTCTGGGAAGCAGCATTGCATGTCGCAAGAGACGGGTACACTTGTGGAATCATCGTCCTTGCCATGATGGTGGAAGTGTGCTTTCAGAGAGGGAGAAAACAGACAAGGTGAGCCACAATAGTCCGTCCATGAGGAGAAAAGACATTAGATAGATGAGGCACAATTTCCTGTTTCAACTCAAGGATGCACCTGAATTCAAATGGACGCAACGGTAAACGTTGATTAGTAAAGCCCGCAGGCCCATGCCAGGGCGTCAGTGGGGATCCACGTCCCAAAGAAGCGTTAATGCCGAGCCTTAGAACCATGTTAAACGCTGGAGCTTGGTCGGCGTGCAGCTTGACGATCAATGAATAGGACGACTAGTCAATAATACTCGCATCGGTGCCAGATTGTCCGAGAAAGATATTTCCAAGCCGTCCAAATTGCATGCGTACAGGAAACGGGCTGTTGTAGAGTGCAATGGCTACATAGGCGATGTGCATTTAGTACAACAAAAAGGCTGGGAAGGTGGGAAGCGAAGAAGTTGCAAGTGAAGCCAAACGTACAGACGTTCCTGGGCAACGGTTAACAGCTCGGGCGGAACGGGGCTGAAGCCTGTTCCAAAGTGCCGTCAGATCAGAGAGAGAAGCACAAGGCAACAGGTGTGGAAAGCAATAGCCGTGGAACTTTGACAGATTGTGTGTGACCTGTTGTGACTGTCGTCATAGGCTGGGGCGGGTAGGAAGGAGCTGGGAAAGGTCAAAAGACTGATCGGCGGAGTTGACATTTGGAATTCTTTGACGGTGTGAGACGGCTGCGGGACTGTTGCGGAACTGCTGCGGGCTCGCCACCGGAGCCGCGCTCCAGCGCTCTCCCAGACAGGTCCCAATTTGTCAACGCGCTTTATAGGGTGGGATGTACCACGGCAGACGGCAGTGGGAGCCTGATTGTTCGCTGTTTGTGGAATGCCAGCGCCTTGAGGTCAGCGGTCAGTAAGTCGCACCAGGTCACGGCTACACAGATTGGGCTCTGAAAACGCGTATGAGACTGTCAGTGGTGCGTTGCAAAGGAGAGATGACGGAAGTGGCCCGCAGGCATCTGTAGTTGAATGTCTCAGAATCTCCTATCTGGGTGACCTCTAAGGCCCATGGACAGTGGACTCGGGTCATGAAGACAAGAGAAGTGTCTAGCCACTGGATATCTGACCAAAAGGACATTGATCAATGCGAAGTTACGCAACAGTCCTTAAGTCAAGCCACCGATTCGAGCCAAAATGCCCAATCAAGCATACTATCACCTTGCCGAACGTTCGCAAGTACAGGATTGGGCCGATGGGAATCATACTCCTCTCTCATCAGCACAGCTGTCATAAGTCACGGTCAGGGACACGAGTTGTGGGAGTCGCCCAGGAGGGCATTTTACCTTAAATCAATTCTTTTCTGTGGACTGGTTACTTCACTGGCTGGAGCCGTGGCCACGATCCGCGTGGGTGCCGGAAGGCGGGCGTCAGGCTACGTCTCGCGTCACCGCTGTGCATCAGGACTCGGGAAGGCAGACATCAACGCATTACGCTGGCGCAGCTTCAAACCAGGTTCAACACCTCTTTTGCTAAACCTCGCTACTCTCAACCATGGCGCATCATGCTTTTGGCAGGGATGGGCGATGGACGATGGAATACGAAAGCATGAAAGCTCGGATGGCTTGAGGTGGGTTGATATCATGATGAGCCCCCGTTGAGCCCATGAATGCACTCCGCGGGCAGGATGGTTACGATGGAAGCAGCGAGGTACAAGAACGCCAGCAAAGCTTACATACGTACATTTGTGAATGGAGTTCTGTGTACGTATGTACGGACCTAAGGCAAAAAGTGCAAGGCTTCACTGTTCAGGACTAGGGCGCTAGACTGCTGAAACGCTCCAGGCTCTCGCCTCGCGCATTCTCGCCCCATGGCCCGATGGCTCTGGCCTGTGTCATCTTGAGCTTGTCATCCGACTTTCTGGCAGCGCTCATAAATGCGCCAGTTTATTCCTTATCGGCGCATTTTACGATTCACGCTTGTCAGGCTTTCATTGGTTTAGCTCCTTACATTCAGGTCAAAATTGGCCATTCCTACTCGAATGTGTGTCGTCATAATATGCAAAGAGAAAGCCTCTACCTGCAGTTCTGACCTTGACGTTTTCAAGGCTTCACCGCCTCACCGTTGTTTCGAATTGGGTACCTTCGGTCGGACAGGTCTTGCAACTTGCCATGGTGGAAGCAAGCGATTTGCGGTCAGCATGGAGAATTGGAAACATTCTGCTGCACCTGCGCAAGGGCGCGGTCCATCATGCTGATTGCTGCCCAATGTCCACTGGCCATCCTCGCTTCCGTGTTCATCCTCCACACGTATCACATTCATTGTCGAGATATTTTACTTGGGAGGATGAGATCCTGCAATGGTTCGAGACAAGCACATTGCCTGTAGCAGGGTGCACTGGTCGGGCACCAACCTGCGCCAGCTCGCCGAGAGTGCCAGGTGCATCAAAACGTTCATATGGTGGTGACCGTGCCCTCAGTCCTGCCACCTGCCAACCCCCCGCCCGGCCCTAAACCCCCAACCGCAAGGCACTCCGATGGCCAGCCCACACACCACGTACATCCGGCGAGACCAGGCTACAGCGCATATACAGACAGCCGGTACTCTTGCTCGATGCCGCTGACGAACCCGAGCGACTGACGCGTGCGCGAAACAGCCATCTCGCGCACGGGCCGTGCCTCTCTTGGCAGCTTTTGCACCTCTGGTTGCAGCAGCAGCGTGGTCGTCTTGATCCCATCCCCATGAGCAGTTGCTGCCGTTACAATCGCTGCTGCGTGCAAAGAAAGTGCATCCGGCAGATGCGCGACGCGGCGCCAGTCCATGTCCTTGCGGGCGATTGTGCCGAGCATGTCGACCGACCGGCCCGAGAAGGACGTGTTCTCATCCGCTTCGCTATGCAGCAGCAGCAGCAGCAGATCTTCCTCCTCATCCATCACGAAGACTTCGCGCACACGCATCTTCTGCCCGTCCTGCGTCTGGGCGAGTACTTTGAACGTGGTGTATTCCAACTTGTCGTCCTTGCCACATAGCACCTTGTGCTTCTGATCAGTTGATGTGGAAAGCGGCACGCCGAGCATGGTGATGATATGTCCGTCTTGGTCTTCAGCACCAGAGTCGTCCGGTCGATGGATGAGGATGCGGTGCGTGTCAGAACCCGCGCGATTCGACCGCCATCCGTGCACCGAGGCCGAACCCTCGTCATAGGCGGACGGCAGAGCTGTGGCCTTGGATGCCAGAGCAGCTACTTGCGGTTGACCTTTGATTTTCAGCGTGGGTACCTCTGCTCGCCAACGTGTCGCAAGATGCGTATCGTCGACCGAGCTGCTGATCCGCCTCTCTAGCGTGTCAGCAACTTGCGCTGCAGCAGCAGATGCCAGCGCCCACGCCGTCCCTCTGAACGCGGGTGCGGGCGAACATTTGGGTTCGCCCAAAGCCCCCGAGAAGAGGTGCTGCGAAGGGGTAAAGCCTTCGCACTGACCTGACAAAGGAACGACGAGCGCAGGGTTGAACACTGAAGCGTCTGACAAACGCTGTTCTGTCCTGCGCAATATCTCCTCGAGTCCGGTCGGCTGTGCGGCTGGCGTGGCAACAACCTGCTTGGCCCTCAGCTCCTCAACCACGTTGCACGCGTTGCGCGTACCGAGCAGGGCATCGAGATGCGGATTGATGAACCCTCGTTGTACGTATTCAATCGCGGCGAGGGTGTCGTGGATGATGGGGTGGAACTGCCCATCGTCGCGCCGAGGATTCTCGTGCTTGTCTCGCTCTAGTGGGAGGCACAATGGTCCTTTCAGCTCCCATTCTCATGCCCTTCGCCACGTAGGAAAGAGTTGCAAGACTCACCCTGCTTCCACCACTTGTAAAACTCTCCAGCAGCCAGCAGATCCTTCTCCGCTTCGACTTCGATGACCAGGCTGGCACGCAATAACTCTTGAACGAGTGCCTCAGTTTCGGACGCCAATGGAAACGCCGCCCCGTCTCGCTCTGCTGGAAGCAGCCCGTGCGCGCGCAGCGACTCGAGGATGATGAGGATTCGCTCGCACGCAGGGCCGATGACGGTAGCGGCTGCGCGACGCAGAAAACGCAAGGATGTGTATGTAGTGTCTTCCATCATGTGCAGAGCCTGGAAGAAGTTGGCCGCAACGTATCAGGAACGGGAAACAGGCGCCGCGGCGTACGGTTCATGCGTACTTGCACTCACGCTTTCATTGATCATGCTCATGATCATTACCTCAATCCCGTCGCCGAGCCTGCCACCTGCGATAGCAGTGATGCACTCTAGCTGAAAGTCACAGCGATACTTTTCCCCAACTTCCTGTGCATGCTTGAGCCACTCGTCTGCAACCTGGCCAATGTACGTCATGCGGAAGACTTGCCGCATGAGGTGCAACGTGTCCAGAAGGTAGGAGAGTAGATGGTGTAGTGTAGTAGAGAGAGCGAGAAGATGGAGGTGTGCTGGGGTGGAGCCGAGCATTTGGCTACTCGAGCGCAGATGGAGCTTGGCTGTCAGCAGCACCATCTCTTCCTTTCCATCCGAGAAGGGGCCGGATGCGAGCACAGAAAGTGAACTAAAGTCGCGAGAAATCGCCGTCGACAAGCTACGATGTTTCGTTTGCTCGTTTGGAATGGTGACTTCGCCTAAACGGGCAGTGCCCTGTGCTAGCAAGTGCAGCCGACCCCTGCCGTCCGAACACAACAGTACGTCCGCTAGCAGAGCATCTGTGTCACCCTCGCTTCCCTCTCCGACCGTTGCGAAAGGCCCCTCTTGACCAGTTGCGGACTCGACAATGCCCCACTGGACCGCGTCAATCGGCAGGACTGGCAGTCTCGCCAGCGCCAGAACAGCAGCTGCTCTCGACTTGTCTTCTTCATATTGCCACTGCTTCGCTGCGATGCTAGGTAAGACGCCTTGTTCGGCTTTTACCGCGCCACCCCTACCCATGGCCATCTGTCGGAAACGCAGCTGGTGAGGAAGGAGCTTTGGACCGTTGGCTTTGCCAGACTCGTTCATGCCTAGGCCGTAAGACGTCAGCTCTGCGAGCGGCGGCAGTGGTGTGAGGCTGCGAAGGATAGTTATTGGGTTTATAGAGAACGCATTCTGTTCGCTATGATTCTATTGCGAAAGATGCGTCAGCTTTATTGATCACACCTTTGGAAGTGTTTCTCCCGACAAAAGCTCACCTCGTCGCCGGATAGATCGGCTTGTGAAGTGTTGTTGGCAACCCAACTCATCTCCGTGTGCTTTGGAAGCGGTGCGTTAGCCAAGTCCGCCCATTCTGAGAGCTTGATGCACTTGAGGAGTGCGCCAGTCTCGGTTGCTAGCAAGATGACGGCTGAGACGTAGAGTGCTTTACCTCCTGCGTCAGGGCTCTCACTCGTGCTGGCCGTCCGCTGCCATGTGCGCTTGAAGAGCAAGTTGATGGCCACTCTTCGTCCTGGCAGCGTAAGCAAAATGGGTGAGCGAAGCGATTGGACAGAAGCGAGAGGGGTTGACTGATCAGCTCACCATCTGGGCTCCAGGCGAGCCCGCGAATAGAGCAATCTTCATTTACATCGGCAGTTTGGAGACCATCGGTGGAAGCGAACATGTCGGGCCTGGGTAGATTGACCTCCCACACGATTGTGGTTTCCTCTCCTATGCGCCAAAGGGATGCCTTGATGGGCTGGCTTTTGATCAGACCTGTCCCCGCGGATCCTTGCCCTGTACCTCCTGCAGCCGCCTTCTGTTGCTGCTTGCGAGCCACCATCTCGCGGAGCCTTGCTGCAGCTGCGGACATGGGCGGCTGAGCCGCTCCCGTTGCCGCAGACGAGGCTGCAGAGCCTGCAAGAGGCGCCTCAGCCCTGAAGAGGAGGACGACGTCCATCTTGGGGTTCATGCATCCTGGCAGGAGGTGCGCTTCGGTTGGGACCTTGACAGAGCCAAGCAGCGTCAGCGGCGGCTCGATGGCGCTGCACGACCACGAGCCGCTGGCGAACGATGAGTCCATCGTGGCTGATGACTGCACTCTGGAAGGACTGCTGCGCTGCTTCGCACTGTAGCATCGAGATACAACCAGTAAGTGTATGCGCTACCTTGGGTCGACCGTAGCATTGCGATCGGCAACAGCGTTGATTAGCCTTGGAAGATCCCAAGTCGCGACAGTATCGTCCTTCAACCCGCTGGTAACCCCCCCATTCTCGCAAGTCATGACGCGCCTTGCGTATATATTTGTAATACTCATCTCGTGCGGGCGGGGCGGCTGAGCATCAGCGTGGCAGCCTGGCCCCGCGTGTGGCCGCAATCGAGAGTCGTGGCCTGTGCGGTACACGAGAGTTAACGAACCTCATTCGGCAACCTGCGAGTTGAATTCTTTCTCCACGTCTTCCTAGCGCTTTCATTCTTCCCGAGTTCCTACTCCAATAAGCTCTGCAGCGACAATAGCCAGCAAGTGCATATGGCCGTCAAGATGCCACCGAAAGGATCCTCCGCCTCGGGCGTCAAGTCCAAGCTCGCATCGGGCGAGACGAAGCCCAAGTCCCCTTCGGTCGCGATCCAGCTGTACCTGATCGCGTACAACCTGGTCTCATTCTTCCTCTGGACGGTCATTCTCGCCACGCTCGTCAAGCACCTGCTCCTCGGGCCGCAAAACTCGTCGTACATCCTGCACCGCATCTCCAGCTTTATGGAGGTGTTCCGCCCGCACCGCACGTACCTCATCCAAAAGTACTCGTCACTCCCAGCTCCGCTGCGGAGCCTACTCGTCAAGGCGAGCACGACCCACTCACACATGGGCGGCCTGGTTGCGTTTGTGCAGACGCTCGCTGTGCTTGAGGTCGCACATGCTGCGCTCGGATGGGTGCGCAGCCCCGTCCCGACGACCGCGATCCAGGTCGCGTCCAGGCTCTGGTCCGTGTGGGCAGTCACTGAGCGCTTCGACGCCGCGGCGACGACGCCTTTCTACGCGAGCATGATCTTCGCGTGGAGCTTTACAGAGGTTGTCCGATATGCGTTCTATGCGAATCAGCTTATGGACCACGTTCCGCGTCCGCTGCTCTGGGCCAGGTCAGTCGCCCGCTTTTTGCCCCTTTCACTCGTCCAGGCATCATGGCTGAAGCATCTTGCACTTGCATCGCAGGTACACCACCTTCTACCTTCTCTACCCTCTAGGTGCAGGGTCCGAGGCGGCTTGCATGTTTGCGACGCTGCCAAAATCTCTGCCCTGGAACGACAAGTTGGGCCAGTGGGGCTTCCGCGAATACATCTTTCTCTTCCTCTTCACAACCTGGTGGCCAGGTGAGGCAAGCGCCTCTGGCTGGGAGCTCAAGAAGCCTCTCGTACTGACGTAAATTATTTCCCCTCCCACCTGCCTTTCAAACGCAGGTCTCTACATTATGTACACACACATGATGAAGCAACGCCGAAGGGCGATTGGCAAAGGCTTCTGGGGCGATGGCAGCCCGATTGATGCAGTCAAGAAGTCCAAGTGAAACAGAGTGACAAGCGCTTCATGAGCTTATTCGACTGTTGAAGGTTGCGCGGAAGATGATGATTACAGGCATTCTGGGGCGTAAAGTTACGACTATGCTACAATTGTACCGAAAATGCAAGGCATATGAAGAAAGCAATGGCAAGTATAGGCCTGAGAACTGGACCAACCAACAACAGAATTTACATTATGCACGATGCTGCACATGGCTTCTATCCTTGCCGCTTGCCTTGTTTGTCTGAGTGTCCCAGGTCGTGACCAGGAGCAATCTTATCGCGAATGAGTTGTTTCTGCAACGAGGACAGGTGACAATAAGGGCTTAGCATGATCGATATTCACATATCGGAAAAGTGATCACAACGCACCAGTTCCTTCAGCTCTGGAAAGGCGCCTGCTGTCTTACGATCCCAGACCAGATCTGTCTGCATGCTTTGCTGCCGTTGCTGCGCCTGGTCGCTTTTCGGTTGGTGGAGCAACCACACCCTAAAGCGCCCAGCTGTCTCGTCGGCAGTGAGGGGGACGAGCATGATGCTTTTGATGCTCGCTCCTCCCGACACGTTAGAAGCCGGCTCCTTTGCTTTTGGTGGCGCAAACGTCAGAAACAGCTCCGTTTGGATCCATGTTGCCCGGTGCTGCCATCGACAGCGGTCGCAATACTGAACGAATCAAGCGCGACGGAGAGGGTGTTGCGTCTGGTCAGCGGCAGCGCACAAAGAAATATCAGGATAGCTCTCGCGACGCACTTCGATGACAATACTGGGTGTCGGAAATAAGCTGCCACCGGGCGTCACGGGGCATGTGAATGTACTTGGATCCGAAGCAACTTCTGCTGGCGCTTGGACCAGCGGCCCATCAGGGGCACATGTGTCGCAATTGGATGCCGTGGGCTGCTTTCCCTCGGGCATGTCACTGTTGATATTTGCTTCTGCACCGTCGAGCTGAATGTCAGCTCTCAAGCATATTCAATGCCTTGCGGGCTGCACCATGGAATTGCTATGCAAAGAAAGTTCTACTAATCACTGTGGTGTGCTGTGCTCGCTATCAGTGACGTAAGTCTCCTCGACATGGGTTGCGTTCACAAAGATTTTGATGGTGATCTTTCGAGCCGGAGGGTTGCGAGGCATCGGTGCAAGCCAGCCGAGCTGTTTTTGCAAGGCGACAGCTGGGTAGGGCACAGAGGTGAGAGGCAGCCGTGTTTTGATCACGCGCGATTTGTCTGCCAAGTACTTCTGCCTAGGCACTAGGCCTGTCTCGCTTGGTATATCAAGTCGCAAGGCGTCTCCGCCAGGCAGCGATCAAAAAGTAGAGTCTCGCTCGCCAGTATACGGTGCAGAGACGAGGCAGAGAGCGACAAGCACCAAATCTCTCGATGGATGATTGATTGATCCCGAATGTGCATCCATTCGTCCTCAATCAGCTCGCCATTTATCCTCCATCTCGCGCAACTGCAACCAGTCTGTCACGCTCCAAAGGGGTGCCACATGTCGTGTTGTCCCTGCCCACCGTTGAGATGGCGCCGATGATTGTGCTCCCAGTGCCTCGCCCAGAGCCCAGAGCGAAGTCACAGTCAACGTCGCCGACACGGTCAGCAGCAGTTGCTTCGACGCACATCACCGCGCAGAACGGTGCGAGCAGGCATCCGTCGACGGCTAGAAACGATGCCGAAGTGTCGAAGAGGACGCTGCTGCATCTTCGACGTGCGTCTGGGACAAATGTGCGCGTCGTCATGCGACAACATCGCGGATGCTCCCCCTCGCCCATCACGCTGGACAATATGACCGATGATGAGGCGGGTGCCGAGACCATCTCATCCACATCGACGAGTGGCTTGCCTCGCCTACGCGCCCGGTCGGGCCTGCGATTCAGATCTGCTTCCGCCACATCTGTTTCGGCCAGCTCGGACTCAACGCTGACGCCCCACGGCTCGGACGAGGTAGATGGCACGGGCAGCCCTTCATCTGATAGCATCTCTTCAAGGACCACACCTCCTAGCTACAGGCGCGGAAATGGAACGTCGAAGGAGAAGGCGGCCGAACACGTGGGTAGTGACGACACAAACGAAAACGAAGCGAGCGAGTCATCAGCACTCGAGAATATGTCGACTGGTGACGTTGCGGTACCTGCGTTCGGGAGGCCTTCTTCCGATGCAGAACGCGATCTGGGCAGGCTCTTTGAGGCCGTACAAGGCGCCCGGAGAATCACCGTGATATGTGGTGCGTGCCTAAGCATGTGAACCCCTTCAACGACTTCGACGCGCCATGCTGACCTTTCGCTCTTGGCTACTAACAGGCGCTGGAATATCTGTCTCGCCGCCCGCCAACATTCCAGACTTTCGCTCCAGCCAAGGGCTCTTCAGGAAGCTCAAGGAACAGCACCCAAATGCAGGTCTTTCTAGTGGCAAGGACCTCTTCGACGCTCGCCTGTTTCAGGTGTGTACTTTCCTTAATGTCACTGGGCTTCACGCTGACGACATGCGGCCTTGTTTCTTCTGCAGTCGGATGCCACGACCGATTTATTTCACGGCATGATCGCTGAGCTCAAGCGGATGGCTGACGTAGCGCAGCCTACGAGCTTCCACCATTTGCTCAAGATGCTCGACGAGCAAGGCCGGCTCCTACGCGTCTACACTCAGAATATCGACGGCCTCGAGATGCGCGCCGGCCTCTCTTTTGGCCTCGGTGAGAATGGTGATGGCGCCACCAAACCTGTTCGTGCAGCGAGCGCAAAGAGAAAGAGGACCACCAACACCAACAGCAAGGATGTTCGCAGCATTGAAAATATGGACCGCGCTGCTCCTACGCCCAGCAAACCAGCCCCACCAGTGGCAAAAGACAGCCTTGCCGGCAGACGCTCATGGGTCAGATCCCAGTCCGACTCTGCTCTGCTTTGGTCCAATTCGATATCAAACGCTTCCGCTGCCTCTACCGAGCAAGTCGTTGGCCCACCACCGATGTTTCCACGCTGCATTCCTCTCCACGGCTCGTTGCATACAATCACCTGCGGCATCTGCGCGTTTAAGTTGGACATCAGTCCGGACATGGGTCTGGATGGCCCCAACACCCCGCCACCGAACCTCGGCGCGACGGTCAGCAAGCCGAGCGATGCGCTTGAGCTGCTGCTCCAAGGACAGCCGATCCCGTGTCCGCGTTGCGAGGTGGCGGATGAAGTGCGCACGAGCAACGGCATGCGCTCGCGCGGCATTGGCCTCATGAAGGTCGATGTTGTCCTCTACGGCGGACAGAACAACTCGGCAGAGAGGGTGGGCGAATGCATCAGCAGAGACATCCTGGGCCTGCGAGATCCCAACGAGACGCCCGTCCCGGAGAGTTTCAGAGAGACGCAGGCGAGAGAGAGGAGGGAAAAGAACATGGCGCAGCAGAAAAAAGAGGAGGAGGTGAAGGTAAAAGCAGCCGCGGCATCTACAGCCAAGGCCGAAAGCCAGGTGGAGGTGATTGGGATTCTAGAAACAGCAAGCAGCGCCGACAGCGGCAGAGGCAGCACGCCTGAAAAGCCTTTCCACAAGCGCAAATTCACACCGTCCAAGTCCGAAGGGCAGAAGGTTTTTCGAACAGGTATGCTCCGCTTCGAGCAGCGCAGCAGCAATGCAGGGGGTGCAGGCGAGACGACCGCGAAAAGCGGAGTTGACGACGTGGTGGTGGAAGGCGAGGAGCATAGATATAGCGGGAGCATCATCCCTGATCCAGATGCGGTTGCAGATGGGCGTCGCGATCTGGACGATGTCTTTGCGCAGCATTTTCACGCCGACGATGATTCGCAGGACAACGATGTCGCGTTGATTACCAGAATCAAGGTGGACACGACTATCGACCAGTCGCCTCAGGTGATTGCCCCCAACACTGCTACGCAGGCGGTCACAGCCTGTGCAAGCGATGCCCCGCTTCTGCCGTCCAAGGCTACACTTGCGATTAGCAATGCTGACAGGCCACCACCCTCGCCGACCAAACCCGAGAAGAAGAGCAAGGTGAAGCTTAAGCCGCTCCCACCCGATCTGCTCATCGTCGCCGGCACGTCGCTTAAGGTACCGGGTACGAAGCGCATCGTACGCGAATTCGCAAAGGCCTGCCGTGCGCGCGACCGTCGCGTCTATCCCTCTGACGAAGATGATGGAGACGGCCCCGATGAGGGGCTTGGTCGTCGTTCCGCTAGGAGCTGCAGTCGCAAAGGCAAGTCGGGCAACAGCGAGGAAGAGGGAGAAGATTCTGAAGAGGAGGAAGACCCCAAGGCCCCAATCCGCACGGTGCTGATCAACTACGACTTCCCTATTCCCAACAAGGAGTGGGAGGGCGTTTTTGACCTCTGGCTGCAAGGCGACGTGCAAGCAGCTGCACGAGGTCTGGCACCTACCGCCGAAAGCAGCATTGATTCGGGCTTGACAATCACGGAGCAATTCCAGCTCTCTGAGCATTTCCGTGGGGAGTACGCACCTACAGAAGAGGACAGCTGGTTCCGGTACAAGGCGCAACTCGAAGAGATGCGCAAGGCCGATCGGCGTCAGAAGAGCCGAAAGTCGAACGGCAATACCGCGGAGAACACGATTAAGGACTCCGTTGCGAACCTGAGTAAGAGTCCGGGTAAGGGCAAGGCGGGCGCAAGTGCCAACGCGATTGAGATTGCGGCTGGAAAGGCGAAGGTAAGGGAGACCCCTTCGTCGAAGAAAGGTAGCAGATCTAGCACGGCCGCGCGTGTGCCGAAGAAGAGCGTCTCGCCTGCAAAGAAGAAGGTCAAGTCATCCGCCTCGCCTTCGCCAAAGGCGAAAGAAGCTGTCGTGGAGCTGTCACAGCAAAAACAGATGGCCAAGCACAGAGCGAAGGCGACGACCACCGCCAACTCCACCAAGGCAAAGTCAAAGTCGAAGGCCGAAGGCGAGAATGCAAAGATCACGAGCATGCTGCGTGCGGGAGTGGCAAGCTCGAAAAAGAAGACCTCGAGCATCGCTGGCAGGGAGGGCGTAAAGTCGTCATAAAGGCGAGCGTACGTGCAAGGCGACTACGCCGTTTATGTACATGGATTATAATACAGACAACATCTTGGGAGTATCCTTCAGGCCTCACGTGCCCCAGCGGTCTTGTCTCAACAGTTGAGGAGCTGTCCCTCTTGTGGAAGAACTGTGACAGTGTTGTCTTTTGCCCTGATTAACATTCCTTGCTGATGCTGCTCTTCTTTGGTGACCTAAGAGAGTTCTCCGGCTCCGGCAACGACTTCACGCCAGTCTGCATGAGATCGGTGAAACGCTCAAAGAAGGCTTGCGGCAAGGTGCCGCCGCTCGCCTCACGTGGTCTTTGGCAAAGTTGCGGCTGCCTCCTTTGCCGTCAGTGTTGCCGCCTATCGCATCTCCTCCGCCCGGAAGCTGCAGGTCGTTTCCACAGCGGTATCCGCTTCATTTTCTGCTCCTTCCAGCTCGTTCTTGCAGTTCTGATCCCGATCATGCAGAAATTTCAGGTCGAGGGGTGCGCAGTGCTTGAGATTTCCGATAATGCTCACTCCCTGGCCCTTTTCTAGTGCTGCCTTCGCACGACGGCAGGAGAAATACACCATCTGCACCTTCCGATATTTCAGGCTTTCCATTCCTTCGCTTCTTTTTGGTGGAGTACCCCTCGTTGCCCCACATTACGATTTGCAACTTCTTGACACCCTTGCCTATGTGCTGGTCCAGCACGTTGCGATGCCCGGGTGGACCTGGATGGCAGACTTGATGCGCAGCATTGCCACGCGCCCGTCCTTGGAAAAGTTGGGCGGTGCATGCGTTGCGCGCACCGTCTCCTCAAAGACGGAGTGGCGCGCTTCGAATAGGCGCAGAACCGCCATGGGCACAACGGACCGGGCTCCTCTCTCCACGTGCACGCCGTCGGTCTGCGATGGCATCTGCAGAGAGCATCTGCGGAACCAGGCGCTTGCTTATGAGCTTCGATTTGCAACAAGGGGCACAACGGCAATTGGAACCCACTAGTGGACCTTTGGGTCCGTGACTGGCCTCGATGAAATGATGATCGAGAACCATCGGTTTGATCTGCAGTGAGGGTTGTTCAATACATCTTCATTGGCACGGGTGATCCCTGGACCGTTCTTAGTTGCTTAGTACAGGACCGCGGTATTTCTGGTATTGTAGCTCTCTATCTTCGCACCCGACTGTGAACTGGGGCCCTTGTGCATGAGATATACTTTAATGGGCTCGGGAGGTGCATCGAGATGAAGGAGGGTTCAGGAGAGGATCTGACGTGCTGACAGGCCGTCGGCGTCCTTGTCAGGCACGATCGCAAGCAGGCGCAGGGCGTGCGTTTCTCGTGACTCTAGCGACTGCGCTGGTGCTTCCGTTTCAAATGCCAACATGGAAGCGTCTTTCCCCTTCAAGTATTCGATAGCTTCTCAAAGGAGTCGCTCTGCGCTCCGGAGAGGCAGAAGAGGCGCTGGCCTTTTGCGTTGACCGTCCGGGGAGGCGGGATGGTCTGTCTTCGTGAATGCAATGTAGTTAGCCTGCCGAGAAGCATCAACTAGTTTCTTGGCTTTGCCCTTGCTCTTGGGCTTAGATCTTTCCTGGTCTTGGCCTTTCCGTTTGTATTGCAGCTGCAACAGATTGCATCGCGCAAAGCCTTTATGCTTCTGATGATTTGCCCTCGATCCTCTGCCGTTTGGCGGGTCCTGGGCTCATCGTGGAGAAATTTGCGCTACCCGCACGAGCAGCGCATTTCGGAGTGAAACGTTTGCAAGTGCTCGGGCGATCAGCGCTGGCAGCGGGAATCGTTGTGCTATTCGGCCGGCGAGCACAAACACGCAGAGTATTCAGTGTCCATCAGCAGACCCAGACAGGCTTCGCTTCGTTGTCCAAGGATTCAAAGCGTTCCAAGAGACAGGGAAATATTCGTTTGCGTTGGGAGCAGGCTGCATGACCTTTGAAGTATTCACGAAAAAGCGTGCACAATCTGCACGAGGGTGTACCATGCTCTCTTGGATGTTCGAGTGAGATCGAGATAGAATAGCAAGGCATCCACTACATGACGTCTGTGAACAATCAAAATCAAGCGGAGCTCACGGCGGTATTTTCTTTCTTTTCGGGGAAAGAAGTATCGCAAAAAGGAAAGAAAGCAAACCCACCGGCTTTGGCCGGGCCACTGCCGTCAAGACTCCAATGAAGCTTATTGTGCGCCTTTTGGTTGTGATCAACACTCGTCGTATATGTTCATCGAGCAGCCCTATTTGCTTTGCATTGCAATGCTTAGCATCTTCTGTAGCCTGCCACTTCCTATGGAAAGTTATCCGAAGTGCACACTCCTCTAAATATGATCGCCACCCGCTCCGCAATCTCGCTCGGAAAGCTCGCGATCCGCAGCAGCGGCGCTGCCACTTTGGGCGCGCGTTCGTTCTCATCGTCCCGCTCGTCGCTCGCCTCGACACTGCTCTTTGTCGAACACAGGAAGGGAGAGATCAACCCCGCCACCCTATCTGCGCTCACTGCCGCGCAGAAGCTGGGTGGTGATGTGCACGCTGCCGTCGTAGGCTCCGAGTCGGAGGTCGAAGGCGTAGCAGACAAGGTGGCCAAGTGAGTCGTCTGCATCGGCCAAGATCTGATGCACTTCCGAAGACCTGGCCTCAGGGCCCGCTCTATAGGGGAACAGAAGCTTATCCGATTTGTTCAATTTGCTGCTACAGGGTAAACGGCATCTCCAAAGTATTCTACTCTGCCTCCAAGCCGTTCGAGGCGCACCTTCCGGAGTCACTGGCCCCGCTACTCAAGTCGCTGCTTGAGAAGGGCTCCTACTCACACCTCTTCGCCGGCCACACTGCTGTCGGGCGCGATACCATCCCGCGAGTTGCCGCACTGGTGGACAGTGCGCAGATCAGCGACATCATTGAAGTGCAAGGCGAGGACACGTTCGTGCGACCCATCTACGCCGGCAACGCACTCGCCACCGTCAAATCTTCCGACAAGGTCAAGATTATCACTGTACGTGGCACCGCCTTCGAAGCAGCCTCGACCGAGGGCGGCAGCGCAGAGAAGGAGAAGATCCCTGCGGGCTCGGCGGAGGCGCCCACCGAATTTGTCGAGGAGAAGCTCACCGTCTCTGCACGCCCCGACCTCGGCACCGCCTCGCGCGTCGTCTCGGGCGGCCGCGCGCTCAAGTCGACGGAGAACTTTGCAAAGTATATCGAGCCTCTCGCCGATGCGCTCAACGCTGCGGTCGGGGCATCACGCGCCGCTGTCGACGCCGGCTACGCGGACAACTCGCTACAGGTCGGTCAGACTGGCAAGATCATCGCGCCCGAGCTGTACGTCGCTGTCGGCATCAGCGGTGCGATTCAGCACTTGGCAGGCATGAAGGACAGTAAGACGATCGTCGCCATTAACAAGGACGCCGACGCGCCGATCTTCCAAGTAGCCGATCTTGGCCTCGTCGCCGACCTCTACGATGCTGTGCCAGAGCTCACCGAGAAGATCAAGAAATAACGTAGACAAATTGCTCGTCGATGTACTGTACTATACACTCGTAAGCGCACGCTTGAGTTTCAATTCGACCATGTCGGGGTATCGCTACAGTGATGTCTAAAATACAGTTGGATGGTTCGTGGTGAGGTGGAGGGATGCCGTCCGCATGTCCCTTAAACGTTCCCACTCTCATTCTCGCTCGCGGGGAACGGAAAAGGGTGATTGTTGCTGCTAGATTGAGCACCACCGCTGGCCTTGTTATCACCGCTTGGGAAAGGGAACGGGTTGAAACACCTTGCTTCGGCAATGAGCGGTTCGAGGTCACGTTCGCGCACAGCGGCGCGGACGCAGGTCTTGTAGTCTTCAAAAAGCGCGGCGCAGGAGTCGTATTTTTTCCGCAATTCCGCCCGGCGCGAACTGAACGACGCAAAGCCATGCGCGGCAGGCGAGGTTGCGTCAGAAGAGAACCAGCCTGATGACTGTGATGCATTGGAAGATGAGGGCGAGTTGGAAGATCCAGAGACAAAGAATGACGAGAAGGACGACGACGAAGAGTCAAGCTTGCTGCTGGGCCCCTTCGAAAAACCAGTGTGACTGGGACTTGATGCACCCGACGCGGCGGGTGGCGCTGTAGCGGCTGGGGCGGCAAGATCTAGGTACTCGTCAAACCACAAGTTGAAGCATTGATCGTACCTGTGCTTAAGTGGTGTGCATTTGGGGTCCATTGATGGCATCTTACCCAGGCCTGCTGAACCGCCTTGGTCATACCGCTGACCAGGATCCGGCGAGGTGGAAGCTGCCGACGCTTGGGATGCCATTTTGCATCATTGAGCGAAAATCTGAAAGATGCATGAGGAAAGAGGCTTGTGCGTTAGCAGGCGTGGTCCGCATTGGATGCGATTCGATTCCGCTGAGTCGCATTTCCCTCTCCCGTCGTTTCCGTCCATATACGTCCCAGACAGCGAGAGATTGCCTCATATAGGAGCGAAAGACATTAGATGGTTGCTATGTTCGCATTGACCTAGTAAGTCTCGATTTGAACTATGCTAAAAGGTTTATCTAATCCTCGGCAATGTCTCGCCCTCTAACCGTATTTCTTCCCCAATGAGCTGTGAGCTCTTATTGTATTCTTCAACTCGAGCTTCTTCCTTTCCGCCCCTCTATTCCTTACTCTGCTGATGCGACACTGATTCTCAAGAGGCTCGGGCAACTCACCACCAACAAGAGCCCGTCACCTTGCTTCCCCTCGAGCGACCGAATGTCTTTCGTGACGCGTGTCACTCACAGCCTAGGCTGTTGCACCTTAGAGGCGGAGGGGAATCATGAAAGGTGATAGGGCGCGCAGACAAGGATCCACAAGTGTGCACAGGGCATATTGTGAGATGTCGAAGATGGGAGTGGTTGGAAGGGGAAAAAGAAAAGTTGAGTGGTGGGCACATGTGGAACTGCGAAGAAAAATGCTGCGTCCAAGCAGAAGAAAATATATTTTTGCGTCACGTGCACATATCCATGCAAAAGATTCCATTGTCTCACATTGCAAATAACCCTAACTTCCCTAAAAAAAACCCCTGACTGGCTCGGCCCTGGCCAATCGGAACGCCCCGGATCTGCCCTTTAGCGGGAAAACATTGCACTCAGGCCCAAAGTTGGGTGGCTACAGTTGCGATTTCGCAGGGATCTATTGGAAATCGGGATGACACGTGTGGGCGTCTATGGGCGTCGCCAGGTCCAATTCAGGGTGAATGAAGTGACATATTCATTTGGATCGCTTTGCGATCGGCAACGTGAAAGAATACTGTCCACATGTAACGATCTGCAACCCATTTGAATCTTGCGAGGCCACCACTTTTCAATCGGGCCTGATGATTGAGTGTACAACCTTCCGCAGTCGGCAGGGCCTGAAGGGCTCTGGTTAATGGTGGTGGAGAGTGATCTTGTCGAACCTGGCCATGTGGTGAAAAAAGGCGCAGCTATGACAACGTTGTCCATTGACGTGTTGGTGGCGTCAAGCCGGTGGCCTCCGATGGTGAAGCGGCTGACAAATTCGCGAGAGCACAACGGCCTGCCGGCTCTGCCCGCCGGGATAGCGTTCCGCTGCTGCTTCTTCTTCCCCAAATAATTTCCCTCATCCAAATCCATCTTCAACTTCTCCCTTCGCCACTGCCCATCACGTATCAAGACCTCTTCATCGCGAATTATTTTAACCTCAAGCCAGCGAGCAGCATTCAAGATGGGTTTTTCTGACGGAGACGTAAAAAAGGGTGCCGGTCTCTTCAAGACCCGCTGTGCCCAGTGCCACACTGTCGAGGCTGGCGGCCCGCACAAGGTCGGCCCCAACCTCCACGGCATCTTCGGCCGCAAAACTGGGCAGGGAGAGGGCTTCTCGTACACTGACGCTAACGTCAAGAAGGGCATCACCTGGTGAGTAGACTGTCGAAGCGTGGGGGGAAATCCGGAGGTTTCCTCGCCGGCTCAAGGAACCTCAGTTCCCCACCTGTTCTGTGATTAACTCTCTCAACTGTTGCTACCAGGAACGAGGACACCCTTTTCGAGTACCTCGAGAACCCAAAGAAGTACATTCCAGGTACCAAGGTCAGTGCAACAACTCGTCAAGTTCCCTGCGCCTCCTGGTCACGGGCTGACCTGGTCTTCACTTTCCCCATCTCTTTCTGACCTTCGGCAACTCAGATGGCATTTGCTGGTCAGTGACCTAACACGCGGCAAGCGAATCAAGTCTCAAACCACTAACATTGCTTTGCTCCTCTTCGATTTTTAACTTTGACTCCGTAGGTCTGAAGAAGGACAAGGGTAAGTACTTTAACCTTTTGTTGAAGGGTGCGAGTTCGGTGCTGACGTCGTATTTCCCGATCAGACCGCAACGACCTTATCACCTGGATGCGGGAGAACACCAAGTAAAGAAGATACTTGACACTTGCTCTGTCTCGTCCCTGCTTTCAACGCTTGCACCCCCAGTGCCATACAATTTTCCAACTCGAAATCCCAGCATCACAGCATAGACGCGTTGGACATCTCGTTCGCTCCTTGTCGCATTAACGAGCGAGCGCATGGTCTGAGGAGGAGTCTTTTCGCAAACAAGGAGAGGGATGTGATACACCCTCACTGCAGTCAACGAAATCAAAAAGCGTAAAGCACGCTGGTGTCCACTCCTGGCTCGTCTTGTCTAATGAATAGAATTCATCTGTAACGCCAATTTTTATCTATAGACTTCTGGAGCCCGACAACACTTGAGCGAGCGTCTTGTACCTTGGATGCACCTCATCCAGAAGAGACTCATTCAACTTTGGGTGGCGCAAACAGAGCACGGATGACGATGTTGGGGACGTGGTGCACTGCAGGGAGTTGAGGAATGCGGATTGTGACATGCGATAATACAAGTATATGTGTTGATGATGAGTTTGAGTGCGGAGAATGGTATGCGGATGTTTGTAAAAGGCGCTGATGCGGAGTCTATGCGGTTGGCCGCTGTACCAGAATGAGTTCGAGTCTGAAGAACCTGATTCCTGTTTGTATTCCGAGTGTTCACCTCGGCAAGGTAGCTCTCCCAATGCCCATGCCGACGCGGACGAGCGTCTCAATCGCCGCATTGGAGTTGTCCAAGAGATCCTCGTCGAGCACGCAGCGTCCCTTCTCGAAGCTGGAGCAGGCAGAGAAGGTCAGACAGCGCACAAACATGCACTGTTGGAGGAGTTACTCACATCAGAACGATTGTGGACCCGCCGAACTTAAAGTAGCCAAGTTCGTCGCCGCGAGCGACGGAGTCACCCACTGCCTTGGTAAGCACGGTGGATCCGACCATCATCGCGCCGACGCAGACAGCAAAAAACCTGCCAAATTGGGGGCTGTGAAACTCGACAACCACCCTGATATTCTCACCATAGACGTCAATGGCGGAGCGGATAGCCATCTATGAAAGATGCGATGGCAGATGTCAGTCTGAATGCATCATCGGTGAAGCATATCTAGCAAGACCCACAGGATTGACAGTATAGTCTGGAGGCGTGAAGAGACAGGGATAGTTTGAGCTGAAAGGACACCACATACAGCCACACACGTGCATCGACTCACATTGACCCTCGATCGGAGTGATCTGATGAACGACGGCATCGGCAGGACAGTGGAAACGATGATAGTCCTGCGGTGCGAGACGGAAGATGCACAATGCGCCATCCTTTAGAGCGTTTACTTTGCCCTTGTACTTGTCCCCTAGCAGCGCTTCTACAGAGAAACCACGGCCCTTGATCCAGATGCGTGTCGCTTCGTTGACGCTCTCGAATGCCATCATGCGGCAGTCTGCGCCGCTGACCAGCCTGGTCGCGTGCGCCGGCTCAGCGATGGGGCGTGCGTCGGGCTTGAGCTTGCGGTAGAAAAATTCATTGAAAGTCTTGAAGCTGTCGAGTGGATCGAAAATCTCTTCGATGTTGAGATTGTGGAACGCGATGAAAGGCGCAATCTCGCGCACCGAGGCTGGGTCGTCGAATTTGACGCCTTGTTTTATCGACATGTTCTTGAGCATCTTCTTGACGCGTGCACTTTCCATGCGGGACTTGGCACCCTGGTACAGCAGCCGGATGCCCAGGCGCACGTACACCTGCATCTTCTCCTCGAGCAGCTCGCCTGATTGCCGGTCCTGCACGATGATGTTGGCGCTGTTGGCACCCAACGCGTAGCTCCCTTGGCTGATCTTGGTCAAGACCTTGGTGTACCACTTCCTGTGCGCTTGATTCGCTGTGACAAAGTTGCGGACGAGCATCGAGTCGACTCGACGCCAGTCTTGCGAGGCGCATACAGCCAGATGCGTGACAATGTCCATTTCGCCTTTGCGATTCAGCCGGCCCATGTGGCACAGCGGGCAAGACTTGAGCTTGATCACCTGCTCCACTTGCCCGCTCTCGACGGACTCCGAAGCGACGTCGGACGCGCTCGACACAGTCCTCACAGGTGTGGCATGTGTGCCAGAAGCAGACGAACCACTTGTCATCGTCGTTGTCATCGACACCACGGACAGGGCTGTGGAGGATATGTCCTTTTCCAACAGTGGTTTGAGCATCGGTGCATTCGTCGTCTTCGTCTCGCTGCACTCGAGCACTGTGCTCGGGACGGGCACGGGCTCATGTGCAAGGCACGTCTCGCTCAGCGTCGGCGCGTCTGACCCGGAGAAGCCCATCGCTCGGAGTTGCCGATCGATCTCCAGCGCTGGTGTGCTTGCGCCACTTTCTGTTTCGCTGGAACGCACACGGCGCTTTTGAGACCAGGGCTTCTTGATTTCCTCCTCGAGAACGAGGATCGCCTCCTCAAAGGACAGCTCATCGCCGTCCTCCGCGCTCTTGCCGTACCTTTGGAACCAGGAGCGGATCGTCATGCTCGAAAGGGTGGAACCAAGACTGTCAAGCATGGTTGTAAGTTCCAGTTCGCTGAGAGACTTGCTGTCGTTCGTATCATACTGCAGCAAGAGGTGTCGCCAGAAACTCTGGCGCAACAGGTCATACGGCGTAAACTTGGCCTTGACGGAGATTTTCGGCGCCTGCTTTCTCCCAAACTTGACATCCTCGTCGTGTTCAGTCCTGTGCAGCGACAGCGTGAATGACTGCATGCCCTGCTCGGCAGTTGTCCAGTCGAGATCAGCAGCATACAGCCCCGTCGCCGGGTCGGGCTTGGGCGCCAGCTCGACCAGTTCGGAGATCTGGAGCTCAGTGCCACCGACAAAGTCGTGCGAGCTCATGCGGTCCCAGTCGTAGATCGCAAACTTGGCCATGAAGCCAGACTCGTGGCGGCGGACGTGGAACAGCAACTTTTCGTCCCAGACAGGGTTCAGGGAGTGTCGAACGACACGCGTGCGGAAGATCTTCTGGCCGAATGAAACGATCGCGAACGGATCCATGTCGAAGCTGATCTTCGTGACTACAAGGAGAGCGTGCAGTCGTCAGTGTAAGGGTGAGGTGGCCCAAGGACGCCTCTTATGTATTGAACTTCACTCACCATTCTTCCAGAGCGGCAAATTGTGCGCGCCTTGCACCTCCATCATGACGATGCCGATAATGTCCATACCCATCTCGGCCTTGAACGCAAACTCTTCCGCAGCCCTTCGCCCGGCGGTCATCTTGCGTCGAGGCTTTTTGGGCTTCCTGACCTTCTGCAGCCGTCCTTTCGTCACACCATCGCCACTGCCGCTGCCTTCTGTACCTGCAGCATCTTGTGAACGCGCCGATTGGAGCGAGGTCGAAGAGCTGCTCCTGCCCATCTTTCCGAAGAGGCGGCGCTTGGTGGGTGCCGGCACGCTGTCGATGGGCGGTGTTGATAAGACGACTGGTTCCTGCGGGGTGGCGAGCGGCCAGATCTGGTCGCTGTCCATCCTGGTCAGGCTCGGCACGCCAGCGATGCTTTGGTAATGCGCGCGATATATGTCTTCGCTCTCCGTTCCGGTGTCCGTTTCGCTGCCGGCGTCATCCCGGAGCGGCCTGCTGCCGCCGTCGCCGCCGTCTTCTTCATCATCAGTGAGCAGGATTTCCTCGTCCTCTTCCGATCCGCTGCTCAAGCCGTCGTCGATGAATGCTTCCGCAGCGGACGCCGTACCGAGCGACTGATCGGCAGGCACGCCACGTACGCCCAGCGCTGCATCGGAGGTGTTGGCGAGGAGCAGCTGGTGATACACGTCGTCGACGTTCGCGTGGGAAGCAGGGGGAGCAGAAGGCGGCAGAAGACCGACCTTGACTATCAGTTCGCCGCTGACCTCTCTGCGGCGCCGATGCGAGACGACGGGGATGGTGATAGGCTTGGCGTGCTCCCACGCAACGCTTCCCACTTCTGTGGTGGCCTCCGAGCCGTCTTCTCCGGGTGAGGCGGTCGCCCAACTTTTGACAGGCAACGAGCACTCGCCGAGGTAGTCGTCTGCGCTGAAGCGGTCCTTGTCCCACAGCACAAACTCGAGGGCGCGGACAACGGCGTGAGATGCCCCGGACGGGTTAAGCACGGCCGAACCGGGCGGCGGCTCGAGATTGGCAGTGTTCACATTTGTAGCAAGTCTGTGCAAATCTGGCTTTGCACGCTGCTGCTCCTGCCTAGATGCAGCGTCTGTGGGGCTGGGCGAGGCGGAGATTGAAGCTTGGGCGCTCGTAGTCGCGGAAGCAGGGGCTACATTCGCCTCAGAGGGATTGTTGTTGTTGTTATTGTTGTTTCGCTTCATGCGCATGGGCTTTGGCGCCTTTCTACCAATGACACGTGCGCCCGCTGCCGCACCCTTTGGAATCTTGCGGGCTGGCTGCAGCAGGTACTTGCTTGCGGCTCCAGAGAGTGAGCGCTTGTACAACGACCTGCCTCCGCCGGGTAATACGCCTTCTTCATTGGTGCCAAGCCATACAGGAGTGACGTCTAGATCAAATGTGGCTTCCTCCGGCTTCCACACCGGGTTGACCGTCTTGGAGATAGCTGGTGTCTGGCGCTTGCTGCTCGATGAGCTGTTGCTAGAAGAAGGCTTGCTCGAGCCCGAGGCTGACGGGGTAAGGTTGACGCCGGGTATGCTGAGCACCACGTACGGGTCCGAGGTCTTGCCATGACGGTCGCGCCCGATGAGGTTGTGTGCTGCGACGATCTGCACCCGCAGCCGTGCGAGCACTTGCTGAGCATCCGCCATGGCGTTCTGCTGTGTACCAGCCGGTCCTGCCTTGGTGTAGCTCAGGACTGCCGGCTGTTATCACCGGCGCTTGCTGGCCTTGGTCAATGGTTCTGGCCCGCGGACCGGTTTGTGCAGATACAGTTCCTTGCAAAGCAAAAGGGAAAGCGAAGAGAAGCGAAAAGAAGAGAGGAACGCAGGTTTGACCATGGGCGTGACCCGCTGTGCCCCATCAAGATGATATGGTTCTTGCTTCAATGCGCGGACCCGCAACAGGAAAAGCTATGGTCATGGCTATGTCGAGTGGCTAAGTGGGGTCTCTGTATGGAAGAACGTAGAGCGAATAAAAAAAATACGTTCGCTGTACAGAAAGAAGCGTCCCCATATCTATGGCAAGCAATACCCATTCTGCTGACCTGGACGGACACAGCGTGCGGCATTCACAGCAAGATGAGCATTGTTGGGACGTTGCCGTGTGGACTCGGGACTCCGAGAGACGATCACTTGAGGTGACCATGCGGCACTGTACTACACTGGTCACACACTCCACACTCGGGCCACCACGATCAAAGCCATGGAAATTGAATGCCGCGGCCATCCCTAACGGTGGGCTTCGACTGCATTATCACCACGGCGCTTCTCATCAGAAGATCCACATGTGGACCCTCTCACTCTCGCTCTTTCCTACTTCCAACTCCCACGGTTACATGGCTCGCTTGGATCTTGGCGACTGGATCAGGACATGAGAAGACATGGCCACGGAACCAAGAAACAACATGCGATGGGGACAATGCAATTGAAATGAGCCGGGGGATATGAATACATGGACTGCGAATCAACAACGCCTTCTCGAATGCGTGTACATACCCTTGGTGTTCCAACATTCAAGACATCTGAACAACCAGGCATGAAGGACAGTACCCAAGGCATCCATGGCGAAAAGCCTGTCTGGTTGCAGGCGCAGATTTTGGCGAGGCAAGCCGGAAGGGAAAGCGCAGGGGGTTGACCTACGTCTCCAGCGCAAAGAATCCCGTCGCGCCCGCCTTGCTCTCAGGTACCGGCGCGCCCGAAGGCCCCAGCGGCATGGACGGCGCGCCTGGCGACTCGAGTGACGTGTACATCCCAGACGTGACTGCACCGCCAGACGGTCCGGCACCCCCCGTCAAGGTACCTGCGGGCGCCGCCTTGTGCTGGCCGCATCGCTGTCTGCTGGACTGGCAGCATCTGTTGTTGCTGCTACCGCCGCCGCCGAAAGAACCACTTGCTTGCTGCGCGCAGCCTCGATGGCGGCCATTTGCGCAGGGCGAAGTGCAGCGACGATAATGTCCAGGTGTGGCGTCTGGACTGAGTGCAACCTCGCGCGTTCCCTCACCGCTTCGAAGATCGGGACGAGTTCCATTGGCCGACCAGCTGTAGTGGGTTCAGGTTCGGGGGAGGTCAGCATGTTTGAGACAAGAGGTGCAATGGACCGAAATGCGCCGTGTTCGCTCACCTTCTAGGTCTAGTAGAATGGAAGGCTTGAAGTTTGGCTGCAGCTCTTGTCTCCCTCTCTTGACCTCGGCAGACTCAGCAGCCAAGGCTGTGCCACTGAGGCTGCCGCTGTCATCAGTACACTCCCGCTGGACAACTGCAGTGGTCGTCGGCGAACTGGGGATCTCCTTCTTCTGTTCAGCGGCATGTTGCGCGCTACGCGGGTCGCCATTCTGCCCCTGCGCTGCTTTTTTATCGCCCGCACGGTGCTGCATCTGCGGTGCCATATTGAGCGTGATGTTGATCGCGTTGTCGACGCTGCTGGCTGGCAGCACGTCCTCACCATATCTGCAGGCGCGGGCGACGTACAGAACTTCGAACATCGTGCGACGCACGACGTCAATGCTGAATGGCAGCGACGCCTCATCGATCAGCTTGGCGAGAGGCTGTCGCGCCAGCACCGCCAGGCCACCCCAACCCGTGTTCCACAACAGCTTGCGCCAGCGCGCAGGCTGGATGTCTGACACGGGCGATGCACCGCCACCGCCTGCACTGTAAATGCGAACAAAGCTTTCAAGCGCGGCTTGCGCATGCTGGATCTCTGTGACCGTATGAAGGGCTGTTGAGTGGACAGTAGGTGTGGCGTGGCTGTTTCCCGAAGGCGGTGTCGGGAAGAGTCCCATCTCGAGCTTCTCTAGCAGGCCGTGTTCGATGCGTCTACCGCCATCAACGAGGTTGCACCCGACCCACGCACAGCAGCTGACGACGCCACAAGCGAGCTTTTCCCGCAGCACGAGCGTCTCGTACACCTCGTCTTCGATGCCGATGCCGTTCTGGATAAGGATCAGCAACGGACCAGCTGAGCCGGAATGTGGCGCCTGCAGAAAAGGCCGTATGGCTTGTGAGAGGGGAGCAAAGTCTGGCGTGCATTTGGACGTGCATAGGATGTCTGCATTGGAGAGAATCGATTTCCAATCGTGTCAGTCATGGTCGTACCGCATGATAGACATCTTTGGCTGTTTCGACTAGTTAGAGGCCGTCTAACACGCACAATCATACACTCGATCCAGCGCCTCTGCTGGAGTACGGATGACTCGATGTGGCTTCCATCCATCCTGATCGCCATACTTGACGCTTCGAATGTCGACGCCGTGCTGCTGGACAGCATCGTAATTGCTTCGGGCGACCGCTGTCACTTGGGCTCCGCCGCGCTCCAGGAGCAGCGAGTAGAGACAGCCCAACGCGCCAAAGCCGATCGTCAGCACCTGCGGTGCCGGCTTGGTGGATGGTACCGAGGAGAGCATGGTAAGATTTGTCGGGGGCTTGTGGGAAAAGCGCGCCGGCTCTGTCTGCCGGAGAAGCAACTGGCGAGGTGGACCCTTTTGACACGATGAGGTCACAACGGGAAGTGGGATCGAGCTCAAGCGAGGACCGTCATCAATACATTCACCATTCCCTCTCGCTGTGCTTTCGGCCGAGATATTCCAGAGGGTGGGGAGTTCTTACTTGCCATTCGGCAGGTTGGGGCTGCAGTCGCTCGGGACTGGAAGTCGGGGCTTCCAACAGCGCAGGCTGAGGGACCCAGGACGAGGCGGATGAGGACGATCTTCTTGTGGACGGGTTGACAGCGACAGCGAGTACCCAGCTAGAGTGCCGCAATTCTTTTCTTTATGACACCTGCAGCATTCTACAATGATTCTATCTTGTTGAACTTAGCTCTTGGACTGTTGCAGTTGCTGATCCAATCCGAAAAGTTACCGTCCTCAACGTGTCAGATCCAGCGGGGAGAAGTGGTCCTCACTTGAACCTGCGGCTGCGGTCAGATCCATTCCTTCCATTTATCCATCCGTCGTCGACCCTGCCGACCTGTACGCAGCGACAGACACAGCACCGACTGCTTGGATGATTTTCGAGCAGCTTGTCCTCGTCTCGTCCATCCTCATCACCTTTCTATCCCTGCTGCTCGCACTCAAACTCGTCGCGCGATCCACGCCTGCCGCTGCCTTTTTCCATCCCCTTAAAGATCTCGACGAAGCGACGAACATCATGTCGGACAACACTCAGATCCTGGCCTTCATCATCGCCATCATCCTTGCCCTCGGCGCCTACCAGCTCATCTTGACTCGTGCGAGTGCGTGTGCTGAGCAATAATCGGTGTCCCGGCTACCAAATCGGACGTCTACGCTGATTTGGTTCGTATCTCCCTTGCAGAGGGAAAGCCCATCCTCGACCCAGCGAACTGGCAGAAGTTCAAGTTACTCGAAAAGAAACAGATCTCGAATAACACTGCATTGTGCATTTCTGAAGCACTCCAGAATATGCCCTTTCGTTATTTTGCTGACGAGGATACTCCCTTTCTGCTGAAATAGGTATCGATTCTGCCTACCGCATCAAGATTCCTACCTGGGTCTTCCCATCGGTCAACACATCTCTGTGCAAGCCGACATCAATGGAAAGAAGGTTGCTCGCAGCTACACGCCGACCTCCTCAGATGACGACCGCGGGTTCTTTGACTTGGTCATCAAGTCGTACCCGCAGGGCAATATATCGCGAGTCTTTGGCGAGCTTAAAGTGGGCCAGTCGCTCGAGTTCAAGGGTCCCAAGGGCCAGATGCGCTACTCTCCCGGTCTCTGTCGCCGTATCGGTATGATTGCAGGCGGTACAGGCATCACGCCGTGCCTGCAAATCATCCGCGCCGCGATGAAGAACCCGGACGACAAGACGCGCATCGACCTGATCTACGCGAACGTCAAGGAGAGCGATATCCTACTCCGTGAGGAGCTCGACCGGGAAGCCAAGGCGCACCCTGACAAGTTCACCGTGCACTACTTTCTCAACGAGCCGCCTGCGGGTTGGCAGGGCGGCACCGGCTTCGTCACCAAGGAGGCCATCAAGGAGAAGCTACCCGCTCCCGCGGACGACATCAAGATCCTCATGTGCGGCCCCCCACCGATGCTCAACGCCATGAAGAAGCACCTCGAGGAGCTCGAGTACAAGAAGCCCAGGACTGTGTCCAAGCTCGAGGACCAGGTGTTCTGCTTCTGAACCATTCTGAGAGGCTGTCTATCGCCAATCTGGACACTTGCATCCACCGTGGCATGCCATGTGAGGGCGTGTCTGCACGCTGACGATGATGGCAGGATAGATGAGCCATGGGTAAGGCGGGCAGGACGGGCGAAGATGGCGAGGGGGATAGCTCAGGGCTGCCAGGTAGCGCGCATCTGGGCCACAATGTGGCGTGACGATGAAGCGCTGAGTGGACATCCACTGTAGCAGTGATATGCAAGCAAGAGACAAACGAGCACAATGAGCCGCTTGGCTAGAACGCGTGTAGAGCCTAGTACTTGTCACACCCAGCTTTGACCTGATACACTGCTTTAGAGCTTTCGAAGCCAACAGAATCAATTCGTAGCTATTCAACTTTGCAATTATGTACGCCAGAAGATACGCTTCTATAAATTGAGTCGGTGGGGCCGTGAGCGCTCTCGATCACGCGAGGGAACGGAAAAGTGACCTTGCATGTCGGCAGATTTTTCGCTCGCAGCTCGCATGTACATGGTATACAGGCGGATAGAGGCAAGTCCACACACCAACGCGTTTCGTGGCCTATGCAGTCATGAATTCATTCCGCTTCACGTGCCGTGAAACCTGAGTCAAGAATGCTGTATTGGCCATGATGAGATAGTACCGCCAGACGAAAGGGGCAAAAGCGTACCACCCGACGAAGAAGACAAAGAGCTTGAGGCTAGCACGAAGCAGGGTTCCTCATGCCTGCGGCGCTGTTCGGCCTTCGCTTTTGCGCACAAATCAAGACTTTGCGGGTGGAGGAAGATCAGTCTAGAGCGTGCTTGCGTGTCGACTGCGTGGGGTGTGGTGGGAGCGGGTGGTGGCGCTGCACCGCATGTTCAACAGCGCTGATTCCTCTTTCTAAAATACAACAAATAATGCCTTATGATTCTGACAGAGTCCCATAGATTCGACGAAGAGAGTTCGACTCGCTGCGGCGGACCATATACACTTGACGAATGCATCCATGTCCCTCATCGAGGGCTTCTGAGGAGTGCACACCATTCCCGCCCTGCAACCACGAACCCTCGATGATGCGGATCAAGCCAACCGGGAATCCTTTATGTCTTTTGTTGCCTTCATCATCCTCCGCGAATGCTAGGGGCATTATTCAACTCTGAAAGTAGTATGTTGCAATGCATGAAGAGAGGCCATCAAGACAAAGAGTCTGCTGGAAAAGAAAGGAACAATTCGTGCAAGCTGCACGTGGGTGCTGGGTAGTTGAGAGGGGCCAACTTTATATTCCCTCGCTGCTGCTCTCGCTCAAAATTATTTCTTTAAAAAAATCATTCGCATCCCCGTACCAGCGTTGTAATCATCACATCTTCGGCTGATTCATGTTTAGGACACTTCAGCACCTCAGCACTCATTAGCATCCCATATATAGGTTCCATCCAACTGGGACAGCTGGCTAGAGCAGCGTACCAGGAACATATTCTTCCTCGTCGCTGCAACAACGCTGATTCGGGCAATAAGTTGCGATTGCGGTCCTAGGCCAAGCGGACTCAGAAGTGCAACTGCTCGAGGTTGGTTGAGCGGGGAAGGCACAGCCCGCCGACTATCGCTCCAACCCCGAGGTCCACATTCGATCCTGGCTCGATATGGCGCCTAACCCTTTCAAATGGCGCTCTGGCGCATCACGCTCCAGCTCGAGCGGCAGCAGCAGCCAGCACCATGCCGGGCGGGGCAACACTGACCAGCTTCAGAGTGGATGGGGTTCGTCCGACCAAGGGTTAATATTCGCTTCGGGGACCACCAACGCGAGCTTTATGGCGAATGGAGAAGGGCCGAGCTCCTCTGGCAGCAAGGGATCTGGAAGAGCGAATGACAGCGGTAATCAAAACGGCGTGGCTGCGGCTGGACGCTGGCCTGCAACGGATGGCTCGACCGGGAATGGTAAAGGCGGAGGGTGGGGATCGGGCCTTGGTCAGGATGCCAGCCCTGCTGAGGGATTGAGTGCACCTGAATTGCCACCCGCTGCCCGTATGTCTATTCTCTGTTCCATAGTCAGAAGCACGTGCTGATGATTCTGCCTTTCACTCGCGCCCAATCACGCGTGGCGATCCGGTGGCCCCTTGTCGATTCAGGGTGAGTCCATTCAAGCCTCAATCCGCTTGAAGCGCTAGCATGATATTGAGCACTAACGATGGAATTCACATTGGCGCGCAGAACATCGCTCATTATGCCCCATCTCAAAAAGCGATTCACGCTGCTGCGTGCTCCAGACGGAACAATGGTCACCGCCGATGCGATGCGCGCACATCTTCGTGCACAACGAGCACGCGCACGTGCCATACCAGGTGCCGTCGGAAGTTCATCTGAGGTATCTTTCGGCGCAGATACACCCGGCGCCGGAGGATCTGGTAGCGCAGGCACCAGTGCGAGCTACTTTTTAACCGAAGAAGAGGAAAATGAGATCATCGACGAACTCGAGCGTCAGACGAGGCTCGAAGCAAGCGCAGGGCCGGGTGGCGTTCATGGAATCATGCTCAATGGCGGCTTTGGTGCTGGAACGGATGGATTTGGTGGGTGGGGTACGCTAGACAGCACTTCCCCAGGCAGGAAACACGTTCCCTTTGGCACAGGAAGCAAAGCAGGATCGAGTTCGGCTACAGCGGGGCTAGACAAGATCTCAGAGGCTCTGGCTCAGCTGAACACAAATTCAGCATCGGCCTTCCCGGATGGCAGCAGCGGCGCAGACGCGTATCCCTCGCCTCCGTCCGCGGACACAGCGTTGTTAGGCTCGCCCGTCACACCCAAGAGCGCCAAAGCGACGCTCTGGGCGTCAAGCGGCGGAGGCAGCGAGCGAGAGGCAGCATACATGCGCAAAGTGGCAAAAGAACGTGCAACGCGCAAGAATGAAGGAGCGGGTAACAGTAGGGTCAGTGGAACTAGCCAGTCGACGAGCAGCTTGAGCGCCACAGGAGGACATGGTGTCTCTCAGCACCGCGGCAGCCGCACGGAGAGTAGCACCACCGCTTCTGCCGCCAACATCGAAGGCGTGGAGGACGTGCCGATGCCAGGTGCATTCTCTTCCCCTTCTGTTTCAGCACCATCGGCTCTTTCAGAACCTCATATCAACGTCGAGGCTCCTCATGACGCGAGCGGGGCGGAGGAAGAATCACATGCGAACGCCGGCATGCTGCCTGGTGACAGCCTGCGAGCGGGGCAGGACCCGCTGGGCCGCAGCCACGCGTCCGGAAGTGGTACCCTGCTTGCCAACCTCTCGCCCGAAGCGTTCAAGCGCGTCAGCACGGCGCTTGAGGAGGTCTTCGGCATGGTAGCGGCGGACGCGGAGCGGAACGCATCCATCGTGGAATTGGTGGAGGAGGATAGTAATCATGGCGGCCAAAGCGAGCAAACACCGCAGTTGGCCCTGCAAATAACTCCCTTCGCTCAATCAGAGGAGGCGACGGAAGCGATCGCAGGTTGCACGCCTATTTCCAGTACCAACTCAGCGGGAGCATCTGGCGGTTCAAGCACGTTCACCTTTCCTCCGAAGTCAAATAGGCCATCTTTGTCCCGCCAACCTCGAGAGGATGGTGTTGACGAGCATGTCATGGAAGAGATGAGCCGTTCCAGCAACAGCCACTTACAAGCAAGGGCATCACACCAACTTACGGAGTCCAGGTCCGTACGCTCAGGCAGATCTACTCGTCACTCGACGGACAGCGTTGGGACCTTTGCTTCGGCGACTTCTGATGCTCCTGCATCGATTTTAGGTAGTGCGACCGGCCTTGGCTTTTCTATCGAGCCGCCTGCTCAGGCTCAGTCTCTCGACATATGTCAGCCCTCGTCGGACAGCTCGCCCACGGCTGTGCTCCATGGTAAGTTAGACCCTGCTGCCATCAGCACTCCAACCAGTGCAGGAGGGCACATGGCGCACTCGGGGAACACTTCCGTCGGCTCCGTTGGCACCGGAAGTGCTGGATTCGGCCATGGCAGAAGGCAGTCTGGTCAAGGTCTCGTGTCCATTGACCCTGCGAATGGAAAGATGCAGCTTGGGCTCGCCAGTCCGACCAGCAACACATTCCCTGCTTTTACCAACAGCGGTAATGGCCCGACTAGTATCCGTGCGTCGGCAATTACTCTTGGAGCCCCTGTCAGTCTGCCATTGAGCGGGGAGGGCGTAGCGCCTCCGACGTTATCTTCCGTTGCGACACACTCCACTATCATCAGCACGCCTGCGACTGACCGATCGGGCTTCATGCAGGACCCTGATCGCTCCTCTTCTGAATACGTCTCACGCGAGACATCGCAGTCGCCTCGCGCAGCATCTATGAATGAGGAGACCCATGCTTCAAATGGAGGAGAGACCCCCATGAGCGTTCACGCGGAGCAAGTGGTTCCTGTGTCTGGCGGGCTTAGACTAGACACATCGTCCGCCGGCAACGCGGCAGCACACACGCCAACTCAACAGACCGTGACGATCACAGAGCATGCTAGGAGTGGAAGCGCAGCAGAATTTAACAGTGTGATCACGGCGAGCGCCATTGCAGCTCGTTCGGCGAGCTACTTTCCATCGCCTCCCGCCTTTGCTTCCAAAGAAGCTTACGCTGACGGCTTTCTACCGCCATCACGCGTGCTGACGAGTCCTACGTCCCCGCCCCAAGGTTTGGCCAATGCAAATGTACTACCGCTGGCACAGCCCAAATCTCCTCTGGCACTGGCGCTGCAAACGAGCACTTTGCATAAAATCGACGGACAGCAGTTCGCTTCGCCCATAAGCGCAGAGGAACCGGGCTCAGGCGGGCTCTTCCCGCTGAGGCCGCAGGATCCAGAACTTGCTCAGCGCTGGCGCGAGACCTATGGTATCAAGGCCGCGGACGCAGCAAGCATGATTAGCGCGGATGAAGAGATCGTAGCAGTCTCTGATGACGAAGCGTACGGCGCGGACGACGATGATGTTTGGGCAAAAGTCGCGAGACATGAGAAAAAGGAGGCGGAGGCAGCGGCGAAGGAAAGGCCAGTCTCTCACATCCCCACTGAAGCAACACAACAGGAACTGGAAGGGGCAGGCCTTACCTACAATGATGTGGTCAATTATCAGAACGATCTTGTCAGGTCAGCAAGCACCAAACGTTCAGGCGCTAAGTCGCCGCCACCGCCGCTTCCTGCCACGCCCGTGCTTGGTGATGCAGTAGATCAAAATCCGGTACCTGCGCTGCCTTCCAGTCAGCCAGTCGCCGCGCCTGGCCTTGCATCTCCATTCGCTGGGGTGGACGCTCCTGCGTTTGCAACGGAAGAAGGGCGCGGAGTGCGACCTCCTTCCACGCAACACTCGGAGAGAACCATGCTCATTGACAGCATGTCCGAGTTTTCCACTCCTTCAGGCCAGCCCGCGGCCTTGACAAACTTCCCCAATCAATCGACACCGCCACAGGATCCGGGAGCGTCGCCCGCGATAGATGCATCCCACGCTGGGCTGAAGCGTCGCATCTCTAGCCGCAGTGGTGTCATGTATGACGTGACTTCCAGTCATCGCCCTTCATCTCCACCTCCTCGGTCGATGTCCCCCATAGGACTCCCTACAATCCGCGACCTTTCCGAGAACGGGTTTAAGCCAATTCCGCCTGTCGTGGATCCACATCGTCAATCAATGTCGCTGTCCCAGGCTCTTGAAGCTGCAATGCTCTCCTCGCCCTCAGCGATGCACCAGTCCCTGCAGAGTGCGCTAGGTATCGATGAAGAGGCGTCTGAGAGCATCAACGAGCCAGCAAACACCAGTGGCTATATGACGTCGCCATCAAAATCGGCCACTAATCTCACGCACAGTCGCTCCTACGATGCGCTAACGCGTGCCCTTTCGCCTGCGTCAGACGATACCCCTGCATCTGATCCTGGGCACCTCAACTCTCCACGAAGCCCTCCGCCTGTAGATATGGAGGATGATATTGCCGCTCAGGCCCGCGCGGCTACGCATGCTCTGAAGGGCCCGGACCACGGGGTTTACATCCCGCCCCGACGTAGCCGACTGCTCTCTCGAAGCAAATCTACGAAGAAGCTCAATAACGCAATTTCTGGTCCACAGCTTATCTCCACGACTCAACGCCTCGATCACGCCACGAGCATTCCTGCAGGTGACCCAAAGCTATCGGTCCGCTCGTCTTCTCAAGAAGAAAAGCAGCGGGTTCAAACCCAACAGGCCATTTCAACCCTTTCGTCAGGTACCAACTACGGCGGGAGCAGCAAGAAGGAGAATGGTCACACGCGTCGCTCGAGCTCTTTTGGTCATCAAGCTGCATCGAATATGTCTCTTGAGCGTGACAATCCTTTTTCAACCCCAACCTCCATGGGTCCAGACCCTTCTCGGCTTATGTGGAGCGCACCTACCCCAACATCATTGGGTGACGCGCCTTCTCGTCAAAGCAGCCTAGGCCGATGGATGTCAAAGCTTAGTGCCAGAAGCCGAAAGATATCGGAGTCCAACTTAGCTTTCAAGATCGATCCATTCCCTGCGTCTGACACGCCCCCGATGCCATCTGATCGAAGCAAGCCAGTAGTCACACCCATCACAAGCCTTGCCGAGGCGTTCCCCTCGAGTGCTCCACAGGGCGGTATTACCATGGCTATTCCAGGAACGACAGCACTGCGTGGCGAGAGCCTTGCTTCTGCTTCTCCTGCGTCCGTTCCGACAACGCCTCAACTTGCGATCGCAACCTGTACCGACGCCTCCAGGTTGTCACCGCCCCGGTCGAGCAGTTTGCACGGAAACCAACAGGGCCAGGCGCTACATCCCTTGTCCGATCATCAGGAGACGTTGCCTGTGCCACCCCTGCCAACGACAGGCAAAGGTAGAGCTTTGTCCACAGCATCACAGACCATGGAACCCTCTTCAGCGACCGGCGAGTCTCTTATGGATGACGTTAGCTTTGATTATGATGCGGCTGCTGCCGCACGCTGGCACTCAGAAGCAGCTTTGAGCGTTGGTAGCTCTCTGCCAACATCGAATGTTGATTTGTCGCACAGCAAGCGCAAGTCTGCGAGAGATACAATCGTTCGAAGGACCCTCATTATTCCCTCAGCCCCCATGGAATTGTTGGATGACAAGCGCAAGGTGAGGCATTTTTTTTCCTTTTCTAAGAGAAATAGTCTACTCAAAGCTCTTTCCTACCGCCAGTCTGCGATGTCACTGAGCGCCGGAACGCGTAAATCTAGAAAGGCGGAGAACTTTGTTTCTCCCGCAGCAACCACCAAGAGTGCATCGCCGACGCCGTACGAGCGTGACCAACATCAGCCTTACACTTTGTTGACTGGCAAAAAGTCACTGCAGGATAGACCGCCAACCCCGCCTGGGCCTGCGGGCGTGGGAGGTGCTCATCGGCGCAAGCCTTCGGCAGATATCCCGGCCGAGTCACCCATGCCTTCCGTCCCACCATTTGTATCTGCAATGGGCTTTAGTGTTCCTAAGAAGAGCATGGACAGCTTGCGGCCATTCGACCTGCTGAAATCAAGCAAAGCGGGGAGGCGTGTCAGCGCTGCAACCAGCGCCGGCGCCCACAGCGGCTACGCTGGCAGCTTGTATGACATGTATCTCGGTAAGCTCATGTGGATTGACTAGAGCGCTTTCCTTAGGCTGACAGTCGCTCACGCACTTGCAGATGATGATGATGAAGATCGATTCAGTGCCACGTCGCAAGAAGTGCCTCCGATTCCTGCAGAATATCAGTCTCGCAGCCCCATACGTGACATTTCGCGAAGTCACATTGAGGTCACCCAGCGCGCTGATGGTAGCGTTGTCTGGCAAGGTGAGACGCGATCATTCCGGCTGGCCCACTCGTACATTGTACTGAACCTTGTCCTACTTGCAGTCATCGCTGGCCTTGCTGACAGGAGCAGCACGTACAGTGACGGCCTTCCGGGCACGCACAGCCGCTCCAGCATTGCGTCGCCAATGCGCGACTCGTTTATCCAAGATCCCGGGGAACTGCTATCCCATGCTCAACGTGAGGATACAAGAAATTTCCTCGCAACCCATCGGCAGCACAAGAAGCTTCCGTCGCTGGATGCCGACAACCTGGCACTACCAGTCTCGCAGGATCGATCACTACCAAACACGCCTACAGAGCGCCCTGAATCTGCTTTGGAACCCGTTGCTGCCCCGCAGACCCCGCCTCAGAAGCAGAAGCACCTTGGCTTTGAGATGGCGACACCGCAGAAGGAAGGCGCCGAGACGCGGATCATCTACACGAGCGACTCGGACCTTGCTGTCATGCTCGAAAGCCTGGCGCGCGGGAATGACTCGGCCAAATTTGAGATTCGCAGGCCTGACAGCCACTATGCGGGCGCGGTGGCTGACAAGGGCGCGTCACCTTCGGATCAGCTTGAAGCAGAACAGCATGCGCAGCGCTTGATGCGCGTAGAAGCAGAGAGTGAGTGGCGCTGCCGAGCGTCGTCATGGATGCATATCGCAAAGCTGATCGCCATTCTACTCGACAGTCTATTCCCTTTTGGCCGCCAACCCCAATGCCGAAGAGGGCCACGCATGAACTGGACTAGGGATTGTAGATTCAAAATGAAAGATTGTGAGGACCGTTATTCTGTCCGAACCTGTATTATTCTCGTATGTATTCGCATCGCACCGTGTTCGCAGACGAAATTTGGAGTCTGACGCGAGTCTCGCAGCTTGGCTCTGTGAAATCATCTTTTCGATTTCATAATACAGTTGGTACTGCTCTAGCGATTCGGGGCTGAAGATGCTCTGGGAGCACTATCCTCAGCGCCATAGCCCTTCATCCGAAGTCTTCATACTCACTACTCGGCTAGAATGCCATGATTCCGTTGGCGGTCGTTTTGATGGCCGGCTCCTGCTTCTTGAGATTCACTGTTGGGGGCATGGCCTCTATCTGGAACCTGTGCACAGGCACGTGACACGCCGAGTAAGCCGCGCGAATCGACGAGACGATCATGGGTTTGTGCTAGGTGAGCTGGGGGTACGCAGCTTTGAGCTTGATGAACAATAAGACTTTCTCCTTTTATGCGGGTGATCGTAAGTTTTAAACGTGGCACATGGTAGAGATGCGGCGAAGCATGCAACGGATCCAAGTGCGAAGAAAGCATCCGTACCCGGAGGGGACCGACGCACATCAGACAGAGCTGGACCTACATTGTTGGCATAGCCCGGTCGCCCCTGGCCGATGCATATGTGCTTGTCGACAAAGACCATATTTTCAACGACCTGGTACACATCGCCTCTTACAAAGCGGATCCTGTCGATCGGTAGAAAGGGCCGAATGATGCCAGCGTACGTTCTTAGTCTAAAGCGTGGCGCCACGCTCGGCAGTTAGCGATACGTACGTACCCAGAAGGAATGAGACCATTGTCGCTGCGTCCGCTCTGCGCGTACGCGTTTGTCACCAGATCCCTACGGATAAAGTCGCCTTGAATCCAGACGCGGCGTTCCAGTCTGCTGTCCCAGCGTCTGTAATAGCCTCATGTATTTTTTGTGCAGCTCCTCCACACGGGCGGCGGGAGCGCAGGACTTCAAAGGTTGGTTGTGAAAGGCCTGCTTTGGATGGGAGGAACGAGGGCGAATGTCATCCACTATTTGGCGCTCCTGGCCCCCGTCCGCCATTATGGGTTGATTTGCACGATGGCCAGCCCCCCGCTGTCCATGGTGTCGTCGATGTCTCCTCCAATCGTGTTATCCAGAACCTAGCGTCGAGCGCGAGCACCTTAACCCCGAGCAGGTTGCCATGCACGGCGACGGCCGGGCTAGAGCCGGCGATGCACCTGGCGAGGTTTCGTGCCGCCAGTGACGTGACCGAGCCGCACGGAGGGGTTGGGGGTGTGTGACGAGTAGATGAAGCGCGCGTTGGAAGGCGACAGAGATGCATTGGTCGTCTTGACGATGTGCAGATTGCGGATCCGGAAAGCGTCGCGCCACGCCGTGCCGCGCGGCACCGCGGCAGCGGCTGCTTCGACCTTGGACAGCCAGCGGGGTAAGCAGCCAATTTGTGCAACAGCGAGCCCGACATCTGGTTGGTGCGGGTCGCTGGGGCACCGAGCAAGCATGGCAGGCGCAGCCCGTCCGGCCACGATGGCGATCCGTCGAGCAGCATCACTGACCCGCCGGTGAGCAGCGTTGCGACCTGTATATTGTACGTGATTCAGTTGCGCGTCGTGATCTGCGCGGAACCCTCGCCGGACTGGACACGCTCGATGAAGAGTTTGCTGTTCTCTTGCACGAGCAGCAGGCTTCTGTGCGTGGGCGTGATGCACTTGGGCTCCGACATCGTCTGCGAGGGGAACACGATGCTCGCCGGCGTGCGGAAGGGCAGCGGCGTGTTGGGCGGCACAGGAGGGTCCAAGGAGGCGAGACACTGTTCGCTTCGATAAGTTCTTCCAATGTTCGGCTGCGAATGCGTCAATCGGTGAGAGGATTTAGACAGTTGTTGGCTCAGACTCGCGGGCGACTGACATCTGACCCCCTGACCCCCTGTGCGGATTATTCGGTCCGCCCGACAAGTTCATTGCAAATGCGCACGACCTCAAAGCTGTGCCGATGGTAAAGCGTGGCGCCATGCTAGAGCCGCTCGCATACCTACGCGACACCCTGGCAGAGCTGGATGGCTTTGCCCGCGTATTCCACGCGCTCGTCCATTAAGACCAGGCGACGGTGCATCTGGTCGAGACGGCCGTAGGTCAACTCGTGCCCCGCGTCGGTCGCCAGGCCGGAGAAAAAGGCGCCGACAGCGAGGAAGATGACGAGGGACACACTACTTTTCTACGAGACATGCACGATACAGTCTTCGGAACCTATGTCCTTTAGGCGCGGCTCGCCCCACGTCACCACGGTCATCGTTGCGTTGCGGTGCGAGTTGGGGTGCGGGTGCCGCCCGATGGCGGCGTCGGCGGTGCCATAGTCCTCCAGGAACCTTAGCAGCGACTCGGCGCCCGGAGGATACATGGTGCGCTGCGCGCTCGGCTCACAGGCGGTGCTGTTGCCGGAGTAGAGGGGGAAGAGGATGTTTTCGGCGTAGTTGAGCTTCGTGCCGGGGAAACCAAGCTGGCAAGTCGATACCCTGCTGCTCATGGCTCATTTGGCTTGAGCACAGCACTTGGTCGGGAGTGGTTCTGTATCCCGGCAAAGTTGAAGAAGGTCGGGTAGAAATGGAGGTTGTTCTCGAATAACTACTTTTGTAGCTGTTGGCACGGTTCTGCACGGGACATTCCTGCGCGCAATATGCACAGGCAGTTCCCGCTAGCACTTGGCAACATATATATATATATATATACCAACCTATACAAGTTCAGCTGGTACTTGCGGTTGATGAGACGCCCGAGTTTCTCTACCGGGCTCTGCGAGGCGGTCTGGCTAGGGCGACCACAGCCTCGGCACGACGGAGTCCGCGGGTGGTGGTGGGTCGGGGGGCAGCACGACTCTTCGACCAACGGACAGCGCGCGTCTCGTCTCCACGATCTGCCCCGGTGGAACTTTCTGCTGAGAAGGCAAACCGGTGGAGCGGACAATTTGGGAGCGTTGAACGTCAAGCTGAAGTGAGGTCTCTGTGAGCACATGGTAGATATAGATATACTGATTACAATATATACTGTTGAGTGATGTGTAGTCTGTAGTCTGTGCCTTGCCTTGCTCGCTAATTGCCAGCCGGCAGTCCCGGCAACGTGTAGAATGTTCGCAACCCTATTCCTACTTTTTCCTTCTCTGTGGCCTTGAATGCCCCCCCCCCGGGGTTCAGACTCAGCCAAGCGGTGAGTGAATGTTTATGGTTCCGCCTTCTGGCGCGTCTCACTGTGGCTGTGTGAATGTGAGTCACCCATTTCTGCACACCTGTATAGCGCACAGTCAGTCAGTTTGTCGGCCGGTCTATCGACAGCTCAGCTTCCAATCGGAGGATGGAGGGAATGATATGCTTGCTTCTTCATCACCTACTTGCACCTACCTCCTCTTCTAGTCACAGCAATCAACCAAGGAAGGAAGGAAGAAAGGAACGACTGCACCGGCCTCTCAGGAAGCTGAAATCAAGCATCAGGACCGAACGTCGCAAGAGCAGGACAAACATGGCTTCCCAACCCGCGCTGCATGCCAAGCAGCCAATCTACCTCCGCTGTGAGATGAAGCCGCACGAGCACCGCGCAGCGCTGACCCCCACAACAGCCAAGACCCTTATCGAGCACGGCTGGGACGTTACCGTCGAGCGCGACCCACAGCGGATTTTTGCGGACGAAGAGTATGAAAAGTGAGTCCGTCGCCGATAGAGACCACCATCTGTTCTCCCCAGCCTTTGCATTCAAACGCTCAAGTGCCACCGCGTCGCTCCTTCCAGGGTCGGCTGCAAACTCTCGCCGCACAACACATGGGACCAGGTGCCGCCGCACATCCCGATCATTGGGCTGAAGGAGCTGCCAGCGCCCGGTCCGCCACTGCCGCACACGCACATCCAGTTCGCACACTGCTTCAAGAAGCAAGCCGGCTGGGTCGACGTTCTGTCGCGCTTCAGGCAGGGCGGTGGAAAACTGTACGACCTCGAGTTCCTCGAGGACGCCAACGGTAGGCGTGTTGCCGCCTTCGGCTGGCACGCCGGGTTTGCCGGCGCGGCGCTCGGCCTGCTTGCGCTCGCCGAGCAGCTCGAGAGCGGCGGGCAGAAGCGCCTCGGCAAGCAGGTTCGCTACCCGAACGAGGGTGAGCTGGTCAAGTACGCGCGCGAGCGCATCGAGGTCATCCGCAAGCACAAAAAGGATGGAAAGGTCAAGGCACTCGTCGTCGGCGCGCTCGGGCGGTGCGGACGCGGCGCGATCGACTTCTTCGAAAAGGCCGGCCTGGCCAGTGACGACATTGTCCGCTGGGACATGCAGGAGACCGCTGCCAAGAGCGGGCCCTACCAAGAGATGCTCGACGTCGACATCTTCCTCAACGCCATCTACCTCAACACGAAGATCCCCGCGTTCCTCACCAAGGACTTTATCGAGTCGGCCGGTGCCGAGCGCCGCCTTGGCGTTGTCGTCGACGTCAGTTGCGATACAACGAACCCGAACAACCCGCTGCCGATCTACGACATCAACACGACCTTTGATGAGCCCACCGTCGACGTCCCCCTCTCCGGCGCGGACGCAGCACAGAACCCGCTGACGGTCGTTTCGATCGACCACCTACCGACGCTCCTGCCGCGCGAAGCGTCCGAGGGCTTCTCCAGTGACCTTCTCCCCTCATTGCTGCAGCTCCCGTACGTCACCGGCGTCGCCGCCGCCGGAAAGGTCGCGGAGAGCCATGTGGAAGGCAAGGGTGCCGTCTGGAAGCGCGCCGAGGATCTGTTCAGGAAGCACCTTGCCGAGGCGGAGAAGGAGGGCGCGTGAGAGCCGCAAGACGCAGTGTGATCCGCATCCCCGCACGGAAGCTATTGACAAAAAGAAATTAATATTCCATTGCACATATCGTCGTGACGCGAGATCTGCACGCACAGGGCGTTGCAAAAAAAGGACTTGAGAATTTGATACATAGAATGGGAGGGTGCAATCGGCCCTTTCGACCTTCTACATCGGCACTTTTCTGTCTCTACGGGATCCTCCTTTTGATCAGCCCATGGCCGCGGCGGGGTAGCGTGTCCCGGACAATTTCTCCACCTCGTCGACCAAAGTGCGGAGCTTGTCGAACGTCTGCTGATCCGGATGGACCTTCGCCGCTTCCCCATTGCTCTTCACGGTCGCTGCCTTCGTCGAGCTGGAGATGACGATGAGCCGCTCGTACTGCGCCAGATTTCACACCATGACTAGCTGCGTGACGCCGTCCACGAGCTTGAGGTTCTCATCAAAACTCTCCTTGTCGAGGTACAGCATGTGCAAGCGTAAGTCGCCTAGCTGTAGCTGGCCGCACGAGCACATTTCGCCGCTCCTTGCATGTGGCCATGACGCCGTTCCATTCGATCTCCAAGCTGAGCTGGTTGTACTCCACCTGGACTACCGCGACATGCACGACGGCGTGGATTTCGCGGATGGTCTTCGCGTTCACTTCGAGCAGACCGGTGTGGTTGGAGGGGACCTCCTCGGCCAGCGCCTCGAAGGTCTTCCCGATTTTCTCGTCAGTCAGCTTCGGATCACTTCGAGCGGGTTAGAAGTTGTCGAGCTTCTTGGCGCCTGGCACCGCCTCTGCTGCTTGGAGCTCCTCGCGCAGATTCTCGACTGAAGAGTCGAGACTGCTGAGGTTCTTGAAGAGCTCGAACCCTCCTTTGAGGGAAAGGACAACTAGCTCGATGTTTCCATGTGCTAACAAAGCGCAATAAATAAGTTTGAACAATGTTAGTCTTGCCACGCGCGATTCAAAAAATGAGGGCTTTCAACGTGAATGCAAGGCCAAGGGCAAGAGCAGTAAGCGACTGTCCGCGCCTCACATACCTTTTCGAGGTAACACTTGGGGAGGGCAAGGTTGTGAATAGAATCTGCCGTGTAGAAAGTTCCGACATTGGTCATCAATTTGTAGCTGCCTTCGAGAGTGGCATTGAAGGCGTTGAAGGGCTGAGCAACCGGTGCGATATCAGGCGCCCAGGTCAGGGCCATCGCTCCTGTCGAAGTGGATCCAGTCGGGTGTTGGAGTGTCAGTCAGCTGGGCCTAGGAGATTCCTCATTGCCGCGATATACCAGGTGCTCACAGTAGTGAGACTGCAAACAATAGACAATAGATGTCGAGAGGCGGTGTGCGAGATTGGTGCAGGTGAGCCTCCTCGTACATGGCAGGCGGGTAATCTGCACATGATTTCCGCAAGGGCTTGCTCACCAGGTGTGACCTTAAAGCCAGACTCTCCGAGAGCATGCGCCGGTACGAACATCTTGCAGGTGGTGCTCAGGGGAGGGTGGGTCTCCAATACGGGCTCGGTACCTGTTGAATGAAGGTAGGTCGGGGTGAAATACAGGGTGTTCCTCTGGTGGTTTCCTTCGTGGTTTTTGATTATCTGTTGGTTCTGTCGTGGTGATAGACAGCGCTCCATACGAGGAAGCAGCAAGCCGCGGCACCAATTTATAAGGACCAATGCATGCAATTGAAGGTTGGCGTAGAGAGAGCATGTGTTTGGGGCAAAGGCGGGGGTGAAACGATCAACGTGGATTCAAGTCTTCGAGATGATGCACCAGAACTCAAAAGCTGTGCCCGCCTGTGTGTTCGATCACCGTCGCTGGTTTTATGGATGGAACGATCGTGTTACGGTCGCTGCGCCATAAAGTGCGAGGATGGTTGGCACCAGGACAGTCAATGGGGAGTAGGGTTCGGCGCTGCCCGCCTGCGATGGTGCCATCATACCAAGCATGAGTTCAGGCACTCTCTACACCTATGGTGCATTTCTTTTTTATTATTAAAAAAGCCTTCCCCTTCATCACTTCTTCATCCTTGCGCACCCGAGGACCTGCGGACTCCACCATTTGAACTCAGCAGCGCTTACCGGCCGATGCGCTTCGCCCTCTTTGGCAGCATCTCAATCATTCATAACTTCAGCGCCAGCTGCAACTCCCAGACCAAAGAAGCAAAACGGCGCCATGTCCGCCTCGCAAGCAGGCCCCGATGAAAAGATCATCCGCCGCTTGAGCAACGTCAAGCACATCATCATCGTCCTCTCCGGAAAAGGCGGCGTAGGCAAGAGCTCCATCGCAGCGCAGCTTGCCCTCTCGCTCTCCTCGACGCCTGTGCCTGACTCTGCCCAAGCTGGCAGCGGCAGCAACAGCCCCCAGCATGCGGGGCCGAGCACGTCTACATTAGCGGCAGTGTCTGCCTCTTCCAGTCGTATTCCACGGGTGGGTATCCTGGATGTAGACTTGACCGGGCCTTCGATTCCGCGTATGGTCGGTCTGGACGGTTCGAACGTTAAGCAATCCTCCGACGGGTGGGTTCCCGTCTTCGCAGATGCCACCCAGCGACTGGCCGTCATGAGCGTGGGCTTCTTGCTCAAGAGCAAAAACGACAGCGTCGTCTGGCGTGGGCCAAAGAAGAATGCCATGATCAAGCAGTTTCTCGGAGATGTGCGATGGGGAGAGCTTGACTACTTGATTATTGACACTCCGCCAGGTGAGAACCATGCTGCTTTTCTTTCCTGCCTCTAGAGACACTTATATCTTCCTCGCTCACATTTTGCATAGGAACATCCGACGAGCACATCTCCCTTCTCGAGTATCTACGCACTTTCAACCCTACCGCGGTGCTCGTCACAACGCCTCAAGCCGTCTCGCTGGCCGATAACATGCGCTCGCTCGACTTTACACGCAAGACCGCCCTGCCACTGCTTGGGCTGATTGAGAACATGAGCGGCTATGTCTGCCCACACTGCTCCGAATGTACCAACGTCTGGGGCCGCGGAGGCGGCGAGGCGCTCGCGAAGCGTGAAGGGATCCATTTTCTCGGACGCATACCCATCGATCCGGGGCTTGTACGCGTGCTCGATGACGCAAGAGACGAGGCGCTGCAGCATACGTGCGCGGGTGGCGCCGCGGCGCAGGTCGGCATCCACAACGTCAGCGCGCCCCTACCTGCTGGCGCCGACATCGATGCGGCGGAAGGGAGCAACGCGCTCACTGCGCCGCGAGGAAGTGAAGAGGAGAACGACGACACGGCTAGTGCGCCGAGCGGGACGCTGCTGAGTCAGACGCTGCTCAGACGATATCGACAATCACAGACGTTCCCCATCTTCCAAGACATCACGCGACAGATCGTGCAGCTGGCTGACGAACTTGATTCCAAGTCCAAGCTCGAGGCCCTGTCCTTATACAGCCAGCAGCCACCCCCTTCATAAAAAGGATGGCAACAACTACGTGTTCACGCAATACCAGATGTGATCTAGAATAGAACATTTGACACCATTGCATACGCCATACTCTTGCAACCAGCAGAAAATGCCTTTCTTCAGATGATGGCAGTACGCTTTCGCAGCATCTATTAAGCCTTTTTTGGAGATGCTATGGGGCAATAAGGAGGAGAATCTGCGCAACAGCGACTCTGCTGATTGAAGCTCACCGAGACGTGATTGAGAAGGGATACGGGCGCCTACTTGTTGGCCAGAGCGTGCGGCCCTATCTTTGAAAGCTTTTTCGGTGGCTTCCGCAGCACCTGCACCGCACCGCCACCCTGGCCCGCAAAAGCAAGAACAACCTGTTCCTCCCCTAACGCGGTGCCAAGCCTCTTCTTCCTAGCCGCAACACACTTCTTAGAAAAGTTGAAAAGCTCCTGCGTCGAGCGTGCCGGGAAGCTGGGATGCTGCGCGATCGATTTGAACAGGTCAAAGTCCAGCGTCGAGTAGATACCTATCAAGCGCTCCTGTGCCCCCGGTACCGGCGGCACGGAAAATGCGCCAGTCTCCACCGGTAGTGCCCGCGCCAGGAATTCCGTCGTGGTTCGATTCAGGTCCTCGCTGTATGCACCGTACCGGGGCGGGGCTGTGGAGGACGAGGCGATGGACCCGTTCGGCGAGTGCGACGCACTGCTGTTGTTGACGTCGCCGAAAGCTGGTGAGCTTGTAGTGGAAAAGGACGACAAGCGAGGGTGTTGGGTCGTGGCGCGTGAGAAGGCGATGTAGCTCTGCACGTTGTCGGCTGTGATGCTCTGCTTGCAAATCGCGTGGGCTGCTTGGCACAACTCGTCGAGCTGCAGGTAGAACGCAGCTGCCAGAACGGCTAGTGCATTCTCGGGTGTGATGAGCGAGGAGGATGGCCCGCCATAGAGGTGGCCCAGGCAGATGGAGATGGCGTCCTCGGTGATGTGCGGGTCATCGAGTTGGAGGCCTGCAGAAGCATCCACCATGTCAGCGAAAGGTTCATCTGTGCGTTGTTGTATGAAGAGCGAACCCACCAATCTCTCTTCGATGTGTGCTCATCAAAAGTTGGCGGAGGTATGGAGAGCGAGCAAGGAGGAGTGTGTGGAGGTGGAACATGCGAGTGAACCCGTTTACGCTGTGAAAGTGGAGAATGCAATCGCTGTAACAGGATACACAAACAAACAAAAATTTCAGCCTTCATCGTTCGGTGTGAAAGGTAAACGGACCGCTCAGCTGCCAAGCACTCACTGCCACTGTGCGCTGCCGGATCAGAAAGGAGGCAAGAGAGAATCATTCAATGAGCATTCACGGCTGACAGGGGTCATCAGAATCTGACGACTGACTTGCAGAATCCATTCTGATGGTCGATTCGGTGCAGCGAGGATGAGAATGAGAATGGTAAGTGACCAGATTTCTACACCGAATCAGGCTGCAAGCCAGCTCACCTGGTAAACATGCTGAAGCAGAGCATCGGCGCCTGGTTGATTCGCAGTGCCTCCAACGGCGCCGCCGCCGCTACTGCTCCCTGCTGTAAAGAAGCTGGCTTGGGATTGTATGGGCGAATGGGAGGATGTTGCTGCTGATGTGGCCGCCGTGGCGGTCTCGTGGCCTCTATCAGATGTACCGCCAGCAGAAGTAGTCGGAGCTGCAGTGGAGGTGCTGCCGGCTTCGCTCGCAGCGCTGCTAGTGTGTGGAACCCCGTTCGAGGGCATCAGCATCGCGGACAACGGTGGCCGGGTCGAAATAGCGCCGACTGCGCCTCCCTGAATTCGTTTACAAGGCTCTCAATCTGTAGCGCAGAACCAGATGCGAGCAGCGTGGTGTTTGACCTTCTATGGAGGAAAGCAGGACGTGTGTGAGTGAGGCGATGGTAGGCTGTAGAATGCAATAGATCAAAATTAATGAGAGCTCGGTCGACGAATGATTGAATCAGAAACCCAACCCCAAAGAGATGGAGATTCTCTCTCTCGGCCTCTCTCGTTTTCTCTCGTCTCTCTCTGGGGACTCTAGGTTCCAACAGAAAAAGTATACTTTACTCTCAGTGCGTGTCAATGTATGTCATGTGACCTCTTACTCCGAAACGCCGAATTGTTCAGTGGGCTCCAGAGTGTGGGTGAGGAGGAGCGGAACTGTTAAGGCACATGCATGGTGCTTGCTGACAGCTTGATGCTGCTGGGCCCTGGGATAAGGTGGAATGCTTGCAGCCTTGCTGACAAGTCCAACACGTAACTTGCTCGCCATCAAGAGGAAAAGAACAAGGGTGCGTCCGCTATTCAGGACGCGATAATACAAGACGCATAGACAAATCGATCACACAGCTCGCTCGCCAGTATGCCGGCTCTTCTCGCATGGGCCCAAGCCGCGCCAGGACCTAGTCGGTACGTCGTTCATCGTTGGCTGGAGCTCTTGTGTGTCTGCAGCTCAGCCTCGGCCTTGGTCCTGACGCTTTGATCTTTCATTCTCTGGTTTGCTAAATAACTTGTAGGTCATCCGCGAAAGCGACGCCTGCGGTCAATCCGCCAGGCTACACGCCCGACGTTTCAGTAGCAAAGGTGCGCTCTGGCTTAGCCGACCACTGGTTTCAATGCTCTGACACCCACACATGCGCCGTCCCCCCCCTGCGACTCTGTGGACAAGCAGAAGAGCAGCAAGTTGGGGCAAGCGGCGGCAGCGCGATCAGATCCTTCCGAGCTGCAGCTGGCCAAAGCGTGGGAGGTGTCCTACTCACCCGCGAAGAACCTGCCGATGAACGCGTTCATGTTGTACATGAGCGGCAACACCGTGCAAATCTTCAGCATGATGGCCGTCAGTATGCTCTTCCAGACACCAGTTAAAGGTATCGCTACAACGCAGCAGAGTGAGCCATGCCCCTTGGCAAGATTGCAATAGAGGGTATACTGATGAATGGTTTGTTCGAATTCGATTGAATGTTTCTCTAGCGTTCGCACGCTTTGCTTCCCCATCACATTCGCTCCTGCTGCCCAAGATCGTCTTCATTCTGTGCCACCTCGCAGCGGTCGCGCTCGGTATCTGGAAGTGCTGGAGTATGGGCCTGCTACCGACAGAGAGCAGTGACTGGCTAGCGTGGAGGCAGCCACGAATAGTGAGTTGCTGTACCTTCAACTTTTGCAAATCCAGATTCTCAGTTGTTCTAACATTGCCGCATCCCGTCACATTTCTTCGCCAGCCGCTGGAGTACACGCCTATTCGATCATAGCTCTCCTTTAAACGCATGGCTTTCTATTCATTGCATCCTACGTCCAAGTAGCGCAGCACGCATCCTCGCTTGAAGTCTCTCCTCTCCTGCTTGCAACTCCTTCTCGAGCTGCGCAAGTCTCTGGGCGTGTTCGAACGTGGAGAGGTGTTCCTCCACTTCGGGCGTCTTACTGTCTTCGACGTCGTGATGTTGCTCCTCTGCGTGGCTTCTTGAAGGCTGAACGTCCTCTGGCTGTTCCCGAGCCGCGGGTGAACACCGCTCAGTTCGTCGATGTTCAGTGACTGTATTCAGAAACTGCTCGTTGGCAGCCGCATCTTTGGCCAGATCAGGCTCTGAATGCGACTTGATCTCATGGATTCTGTGCTCAGATCGAAGCTCCGCAAAGGTGGGTGTCTTTTCCATGTTGACATCACCAGCATCCGCAACGGTCGCAACTATGATCGAGGGCAACCGAGGTATCTGGACTAAAGAGGATGACGAGACTCTGCGACCTCCAACGAGCTGTGCTACCTCATCCTCCATCTCTTCCACGCTCTCGTACGCGAATGTGGCGGTCATGTCAGCTGCTGTTCTTTCAGAGGACGAAAGGGGCGGAGGTGATGAGTCGCAATGCATATGCCGATCGCATGCAGCGTGCAAATTCTCGGTGTCGACAGGATCGGTAGGAGAGAGGTCAGGCAAGGACGAGCGGTCGCTGTATGCACAGTCACTGTGATCCTGACCTTCAGAATAGGGTAGAATGTCTGTGTTGCTCGTCAGCGCGACCGGAGGTGAGCTCTTTGATCTGTACTGAGTGTTGCTCGCCGAAAGAGCACTGTCATCAGGCGCATCCCAAGCATTTATTTGGGACTGGTTTTGCTCCGGTATGATCAGCTGGAGGGGTGTCGGCAAACGATAGCATTCCCTCTCAGCCAACGGTACCCCCTCGGCACGTGACAACGAAGAATTGGGTGGCGGGATAAGCGGACGGTCCGCGGTCTCTTTCAGATCTTTAGACATGCATGCACCGGTCCAATCGTTCTGCTGTAAGAGAAATGATCGCATGTCTCTGAAACGCTTCTTCTCTGCAAGCGCGGCGTGGTCCTCCAGGCGTGCCTCATCAGCTGTCCCTCCATAAGGCTGGACGTGGTCAATTTCTGCATTGGTTGCGTGCTTGGTCTCCGGTCCGGGCTTAGCCTTTTTCTTTTCTGCCTGGGACGCTAGGATCTGCTCGACGGCTCTGCGTTTGCCCGGTTGGTCATGCCTGGATCTGAACAAGTTGAAGGTGGACGACGGCACGGAAGGACGTCCGGTATGGGCAGAGGATGAGAAAACGGAGCGCTTCGTGTTGCTGTGGCCGCTGGAAGTCATGTCTACATTGCCACCACTACTGTGACGGTTGAGGCGGCTGGTCGTGTATCTGCAAGAATGCGAAGCGTGGGAGACAGACAAAACGTAGGTACGGGCATCATTCACATAGCTGAACGCATTCTTGGAATTCGAGGGCCAGAGTAAAAGAGAGAGAGGCAATGAGTACAAGCGACTTACCGGCCGCCAATCTGATTGATACCCGTCATGCTGGTCTCGATGCGACGCTGCTGCTGCGGCCATGCACATAAAGTAGATGATCAGAGGAGGACAAGGAAACCCATGCACTGGCGTCTGGCGTACGGCGTTTTGCATGTATTCCTTCCGGCGAAGTCCTTGGCATGAGTAGGGGCAAGTTGCAGTGCAGTGTACACCATTGCACCGTGGGACCAGGCTTTGAAGTCTGGAGTCCATTTCAACTACACCCTGGTCTCAGGTCTGTGGTCACCAAACCACGAACTCATACCAGCGGTGCAGACTGTTTTGTTGCGGTTCCAATCTCTCGGTGATCGGCACAAAAAATGAGACACACTCTCGCTCTCTTCCGTCTCCGCGGACGAGAGGATCGCCAACTTGGTTGCGGCGCAAACTCTTCGCAATACCCAGGTGGTGAAGCAGCACGCACAGACACGGACAGGTTGGTTGACCCGCTCCGTAGGGCTTTTGTGCAACCCTTCACCCTGACCAGACGAAAGGCGGACTGCGGATGTCAGTCAAGTGTATTTGACTGATCGCTAATCGTGGGCATGAAGCTCATGGGGGTTTCTCTGATGGAGATGCAGCTTACAGAAGCATGCAGCTAAGATTGCAACTCTTCGCTACAGGCTCGCGGTCATCGTCGCCGTCCCGATCAACAGCAGCTTAGCGACATCAAGTGCAAGCTGTGTACATTCTATATCCACCTTGCCGGTATCACATCTTGGCTGCGTCATCACCAATCGCCACCATTTACCTCAGCGTGCTTCCAATTGACTTGGGCAGTCCATAGGCGAGGCCGACAAGGGGTGCACGAATAGCTAAAAGTCCGCCCCTTTCCCGCGAGCACGGGAAGCCGTCGCTCGGATCAAGGCTTGATTGGAAGGAGGCGGCCGAGAACTATTGAAGAGGCAAAGACACCTTATGGACGGCGGCGTTCACTCCGATCTCTCCATAGCAAGCCCGGCTGGCCCAATGTGGAGGATGGTAGTCGAATCACCGCGGATAACCCGCCTGCAGGGGCGAATAGCGAGCGCATCTCGCCTGCCGCACGCTTTGCGCTACCTCCTCTCACGCACGCTCTCCGCCGCTTCGCGCTTGGAGACGTCGATCTCGATCTCTTTGTCCCTCAGGCGTTTCAGGGAGTACCACTTTTCCGTAGGGGAAAAAGTCAAGTACGCCATCTTGGGCGGCATCTCACTGTTCAGCTTGTTCATCATGGAGGTGCCCTGCTTCCCACTCAAGCTATCCATCCCGGCGCTGTACGCACTTGCCATCCTGCTACCTATCACCTCACAGTTCTTCCTCCCAGCGGGGCCAATCTTCTGCTGGCTTCTCTTTTTCTACTCGTCCAAGTTCATCCCGCCAGACTCGCGCCCGCATATCTGGGTCTCGCTTCTCCCGACGCTCGAAACCATTTGGTACGGTGCGAGCATCTCAGACATTTTGACGCGCCTCGGCCATCCCGCGTTGGACATCCTCGCGTGGATTCCCTACGGTGTCGTACACTTCGTCGCGCCCTTCGTTGTCGCAGCCTGCCTCTTCATCTTTGCCCCACCTGGGAGCGTCAAGGTGTTCGGCACAAGCTTTGGCTTTATGAATTTGATCGGAGTCATCATCCAGATCGTCTTTCCATGCGCCCCGCCATGTGAGTGGCAAGATTTGACGTCTCTAAACCAAGGCTAAAGCGACTCGATGCGAAACGTCCTATATTCTGTGCAGGGTACGAGCTCCGTGAGGGTCTCACACCTGCGAATTACAGCATGAAGGGCTCGCCCGCCGGTCTTGCCCGCATCGACGAATTGTTCGGAGGGCATGGCTACACGCTCACATTCTCCAACGCACCTGTCCCCTTTGGCGCCTTCCCATCTCTGCACGCGGGGACAGCGACGATGGAAGCTCTGTTTTGCTCCTACTTTTTTCCCTTTTACATCACCCTCATCAAAGGCAAAGGCGGCAAAGGCAATTCACGATGGAGAGGAGGCAGAGACATCCGAATCGACGTACGCTTCTTCTACTGGCTCTATGCCGGCTGGCTGTACTGGTGCACAATGTACCTCATGCACCACTACCTCATCGACCTCGTCGCTGGCGGCTGTCTTGCGACTATCTGCTTTTTCTGTAAGCTTCTCTGCATCCCCTTCCCCTTCTCTGTCCACTGCGGCGTAAGAGTCGCTGATGATGCCGTTCCACATATCCCCTATTTTCCTCCTTGCTCGCCATGATCCAGTCTTCCTCACCAATGACATGCGTGACGCGATGGAGATGGGCTGGAAGTACCGCTCCAGCTCGCCCGCTCCGCTCTCTGCTGCTCCATCGCCATTACAACCCGGCTCTGCGTTTGGCGTGCGGAACGCTAACGCCAATGGGCAAGACCCTGTGGGAATGCCGAGCATCTCTGCCTCGGACGCCAACAGGGAAGAGCACTTTGCGCTCGACAGCCTGGACTCGGCGGCGCGTTTTGACGGCAGCGGCGACAGCCATGATAGCGCTGACGAGCTCCAGGACGGCGACGGCGACCGTTGCGCCGGCCAGCGATCCGATGGGGCAGCGAGGTGTGAAAATATGCAGATGGAGCCGCTGCTGGGTGCAGCGCGGAAAGGCAAGGGCACCTCACGGCCGCACAGCAAGCTGCGCGACTTTGCTTTCTCCGCAGGGACGGACGCCACTGGTAGCGGCAATCAGATGATGGAAGGCAAGCCTCTGCTGAGCCGGGTGATGAGCGCTTCAAAGACTGCATGAGCCAATCCCATAGACGTCTTTGGGCTTAGCTTCTTTCATAAGGCAAGGGAGGCACATTGCGTCCAGTATGCAAGCAATCTTCACCTAAGTCTCCCATATCGTATTGATTCCAGAAGCAGTTTCACTACGGCCGCCTGAGCCATGGTGGGGGCACAGAGTGACGACGTTTGGTGCGCTTTCGTATCCAAACTCAAGGCACCATCATCTGAGTTCATCGAGGCTTATTCCATGGTGCAACCCATTCCTGACAGCTCATTCCCAGTCGATGACGAGACCAAGCGCAGCGAAGGTGAAGGAGAGATGCTCGTGCAAGTGTCTTTTTGTGCGTGAGTTGTCATACTGATACATGCGCTCGCGCCATGGCGCACGATGCGTGGAAAGAAGGGCTAAAGACCGCTTGTCGGAAGAGGCGACGACGAATCATCGGCGAATCGATGATAAACGCATGAGGAACGATGCTGCGAGCGACTGCGCGACTTTGAAGTAAAGGCTGCTACCGCATCGGCAAACGGGCTCGCGATGGGCTGAATCGCAGCAAGACAGCAGCCCAGTGGACGGGATGCCCAATGGAGCATGTTGATGTGGTTAAGCCATCAAGCCTCAGTGAGCTCACGGAGACGACGGATCGTGCTGGAGAGCATGGAATCACATGGAGACGAGTCAGCATATGGACACCAAGATGAGGTGGAAGACAAGATGGTGTCACGCGACCAGAACGATATAGGGAGCCTGCTCCCACAGAGTAACAGCTAATCATGCATATGGAAGCTTGAGCACCCATGAATGGGAAGCCTCCTCCAACCGCTTCCGTCTGCGTATCGACGCTGCGATCCTTCCACATCTTTTAGAGAGGCCAACTCACCTCCTGACAGTCGCCGCCGCAGTAGTGCTCAGGGTCCATGCGCCACCAGCAATGACTTTCTTGCAAGCCCGGCACTCCCAGATGCCAACAGCCTTTCTCTTGACGGTGTCCTTGCCGCAGAAGGTGCAAGTGTACCGCGAGTGCTGCGAGATTTCGATCTTCTTGACCTGACGACGCAGGGAAGAACCGTAACGGGTTCCGTACTTTCCGGTGATACCGACCTTGGCTGTGCGTTTCGACTGCAAGCAGGACAAGCGTTGCGGAAGGGGTCAGTTTCTGCTTGCATATTGCCTCCAGTTCCCGCAAAGAATGTTGCGGGGTTGCGATCTTGACTGGTCGACCACAGGCGCAGAGTCCCGAGACCCTCTCTCAGGCCCATCCAAATGTGTGCTCCCAAGGCCCAAATAGCCGCCGTACATGCTAAACCTTGCCTATCCTTTGTCGAATACAGCCAGTCCCACAACGTTGCCTTCCACTTCCCGCCCAACCCCAGTCAAAGATCAAATCTTTAGAGGCCAGCTCCCAGAAAGCCCGGCTTCGGCTTCCAGAGGTGAGCAGACGTAGTTTGAGCTCATCTTCGGCTTCTGATTACCCTTCCACTCCAGCGAAAAATGCAAACGCATTCGATTCACTCCTTCTTCCGGCCATTACCAGCCCCTTCCCCTTCAATATCTTCTGCTCCTTTCTCCAGCCTTGATCCGAGCCAGCACAGCGATGCAGCCTGAGTGCTCGCAATAGCAGCACTTACCATCTTGCCTATATGTCCCTGCTTGCCTACAACGCGCTTGACAAGATGAGATCAAGACGAGATCAAGATGATGCAGTTCAATGTCAACTTTGAAGATGGCAGAGACGCGTTGCAGACTGAGGGCACGCTTGACACACTCTCGCTGGCGTGTGGTGTGGTGCGGAGTGGCAGGCCTGGCAGCAGCGGGCGAGCGAGTGACGGCGGACGAGCTGTTTGCTGCTTGCACCGAGTGGGCTGAATAAATTTCCACCCGCAGGCCGCAGCAGCCTGGCCGGTCTCAGGCAATTCACCGCTGAGGCACTTCCGAGTCCCGAGAGCTGCCCGCTTTCCGCCCATCCTGGCTCCTGCCCGCCCGTTGTTTCCGATCCGCTTCGACGCCTGAGGGCTCGACATCGTTAGCCAGGTCGCGCTATATGTGCCAAAGAGAGCTGGGAATACTAGTCTTAAACTCTTGGGCGTCCAAGACGCATGTAATTCCATCTGTCTCTGCACATTGTTTCACCGATTGACTCGAGAGAATCTTGCAACTAGCTAGGCGCACCTGGCGCCTCAAAGCAGCCAAACGTCTGCATCTCCCGATCGTGCTCTTGCAAAAGATGGCGGCGACAGCAGCGAGGATCGCTCGGATCAGGCCGAACAACACGGCCGTCTTCGTATGTGACATGCAGGAGAGAGTGAGTCGCCTGAACCGGGATGCCCCGTGTCATACCTGCAACACATATGAAGCTAATGACCGACGTTTGTCATCCCATAGTTCAGGTACGCTTCATCGATGCCAATACTGTTTTTGTCTCTCCAGCATGTCCGATGAGCTAACCTAATTTTTCAATTATCGTTCCGTCGCCCGTTTCACTCTTCACTTGGCCATGCAGATCTGCTATCTGGAACTTTGATCATGTCACAAGCGCAGGTGTGAAGCTGCTCAAAGCGGCCAAGGTGCTGGAGTTACCCGTCTACACCACCGAGCAGAATCCTAAAGGTGAGGTAGTGGTGCCTTCCGGCTATCACCAAGGTTCAGCACGCCCTTTGAGGGGAATGCCTGCACCCATGACCTAACCTACCCACCTTTTCCCCTCTGCAGCGCTTGGCGCGACCGTCGCGCCGCTAGCGAACCTCATCTCGGAGCTACCTCCGGAGCTTGGCGGCGACCCGTCGCCTCAGTTTCACCCGAAGACGCGCTTCAGCATGGTATTGGCTGACGGTTCAACTGAGAAGTGGCTGAAGGCAGCCAAGGCGGATGGGGGAATCAAGGATGTCATTATCTTTGGTATCGGTACGTAGCTGATGCGCTATTATGCGCACATAGCTGAGCGTATGACTTGTTAGCAGGCGAATTTCTAACATCTGTCTGACACCCCCTTCATCGACCGTTCCGCAGAATCCCACGTGTGCGTGCTGCAGACAACTCTAGATCTCCTCGAGAAGGGGTACGGTGTCCACGTGCTCGCAGATGGCGTCAGCAGCTGCAACCAGGCAGAGATCAGCATTGCTATCGCTGTGAGTCGGCTGTGCGGTTTAATGTACACAGCATGGCGGCGAAGTGCTGACGGGAATTGCGTCTGATCACTCTCTTTCTCACAAATGACGCTGGTGGTAGCGCATGCGTGATGCTGGCGCTACAATCATGACCAGTGAGAGCGTTCTCTTCCAACTCCTAGGTGCGTTTTGCAGTGCTCACCATCCAGAGAGTTCCATCTCACGGCCCCTTTGTCTTGCTCCCTCTTTCCCCCTCTGACCCTCTCAGTGGACGCGGTGCATCCAAAGTTCAAGGCCATCAGCGCACTGATCGTGAGCATCCAATCGCAATGAGCAGTCGCCGGTGTGACTGTGAGAGCCCATGCTGATATGTTCCTTCTCTCGGCTCTCACCAGAAAGAGGAAAAAGAAACCACCAAGAATGTCGTGTCTGCGCTACTCGCCAAGTACTAGGTCGTATGCGCATGCATATGCGTGCGTACGTCCTCATGCTTGAAGCAGACGCCCACTCTTAACCCCACCTCAGGGAGTAGGGCTGCGCATTGCAGGTCATGCAGGTTTAGATAATACAACAGGCATTCCGAAAAGGGGAAGGAGAGGCGTCACAAGAGTGGTAGAAGAAAGCAGCCAGCCGTGCTCACTGTGAGCAACCATCTGACGGCCCGTGTCTCGAATTGCAGTCGAAAAATCCATCAGGGCAGAATGACATAGTTGAAAAACACAAATCTGCGCGAGGCTGCAGAGGTCGGGAGGATTAGACTGGTGGAGCTGGGAAGTGGGAGTTTGAACGGTTGCACATTGGAGGGAGACTTGGGAAAAACGATGTGCGCGCATCGCCGACTTCAGTGTGGTGATAATCATTGGAGCCTGGTCTGGTAGCTATTGTATCCGACCTCCTCGAGCGGCGTACCCTGCGGCTGCGGTCTGCTGATAGATCCGAGCTTGTTGGCCGAAGCGGGTGAGCTCTCGGTGATGTAAGATCTGCGCCAGGGGCGCGAGCCGGGGACGATGTCGTTGCGCTTCCAGTAGTAGAGCCCTGCGGCGATGACGTTGGCGATGGTGACGACCCAGCCAATCCAAGAGAAGGCGAGCGTGGCGTTACCAAGCGCGCAGGGGATGCCAAAGTAGGACAACTTGCCGCCGCAGGGGAGCTCTCCCTGCGTGCCGGAGAGCGCAGCGGCGGCGGTGAGCCAGAGGAACGAGTATGTGACGGCGATGACGAGCCAGGCGAGCGACGACGCGAGCATCGCGACATCGTGCCCAATCAGCGGGAAGGCGACGGCGGCGGTGAAGAAAGTGACAAAGGCGACAAAAGCGAGGTAGCCAGACGCGCCGCGTGGGCTGATGATCGAAATCGGCCCCACGAACAAATCTTGCTCCGCTGAATTCCACTTGGCAGCGTTTGCGGCGGCTAGGCACCCTGTCAGCAGTCCCAGCAAGCCGAGGCCTATCATGATGATCACCGCTGCGATAGGTGTAAAGTGAGACCAGATCGCCAGAGAAAGGGTAAAGGAAAATAATGGGAAATTTTCCGCCGGCCAGATAAGAGCGAGTGTCAGCTCGATGTGCGTAATTTGCCGCCGGCCAGAGGGATGCACAAGCAGGCAAGCAAGCGAGGCTGAGGAACGCACCATTTTTGCGACCTGGTCGCCCGTTGTCAAACATGTTTGTTTGCGTCCCGTTTGCGCGACGGTCGTGTATCGATGGTTGGGCAGGTGACTTGTCAGAGATCCGGGAGGACGCGAGCGGAGCCGTCGCAGTGGGCTGGTGGTCGTGAGAGTCAGATGGCCGAATGGCAGATGGAGTCAAGGCGCTTGTGGGGTGTTTCCCCGGTGATGCGGCCGTGGGGGTGGCAACGAGTGAATGGACGACTGGGGGATGGGACAGACTGGTGACGAGGGTGAGGACGAGAAAGCGAAGGAGATTGGAGAAGCTGACAAAGTTGAAAGGACGGGACAACCACCAGTTGAATTATGTCCCAGTGGAGCAATAGGGACTGGCCACTTGTTTTGTGTTGCTTTTCCAAATTGGGACAAGATGCGATGGGACGCCGAAGATTGACTGGCACGACGAGCGGCGTATATTATATAATATCTAGCAGGATTGCGCTCTGTGTTCTCACGGGGACAACTCGGACGTATTTTTTTTCCCTTCTTTCCTTCTTTCATTCTTTCCTTCTTTCATTCTTTCCTTCTTTCCTTCTTTTTCGCCACAGGGAGCCAACGTCAGAGAGCTGGAACTGCTGTAAACGATGAAAACACGGCGAGAGGCCAGTGGCAGCGGGAGCCAAGTTTGTGGCTGTGCAGGGTTGTGCTGGTGAACGCACCAGGCTTGGGCCTCGAAACTCGATCAAACTCGCGTCCAAAAGCGTATCATCTCGCTGTACGCGACAAGCTGACGACGATCATGAAGCCCTTACGACTGCCATCATGACCAGCTCTTTGCTTGCCCGTTGAGTTGAGGTCACGTGCCTTCGCACAACATTTCCACGCGCACGAGAACCGGAGAAGTGTGTGATATGTGACCTATGTTTTCCGCTTTCACTCGGTCTGGACTCTCCTATGCTGTTCAGCGTTCCAATTCCCAACCTTTTCACAACTCCTGCACCCATCTGAGCCGCATGGGCAATGGTTAAGTTGAGACTGCAGGGCGTGGGTTTATTTCAGCAGAACACAGAGGCTCAATGGATGCAAACGAGGTCGAGATTTGGAATAGGAGAGTAAGAGAGGACCAATGGCGATGAGCCGACCCCAGAGTCGCACTGTTATCCCCGGGATTCGACGACCAGTTGGACATTCCGAACCCTGACTCCGTAGGTGCGAGGTCACAGCAAAAGCAAAGGTTATCCGGAACGGATCAGAGATGGCCAACGTGCGGGAGGGTCAGAGTGAAAGATTGGATGAGCAAATTGAAGGGGGAGGAGGGGGAGGGTAACATCAGGCATGGAGGAAGAATGGATGTCTGAGCATATGGGAAGGGTATGTGCTGTTTGCGGATGCGGCCAGCAGCGAGTGGCAGGGCTGGGAAGTTCAGAGAAGCGAACTGCCGGACCGGGCAGCTTTGGAGCGATGACGTGTTCATCAAAAGGCAGCGAAAAGCAGATCGCAAGAAAGCGCCAGAGATAACCTATCGAGCGGTGCCAAAATGAGAACGGCGGCGAAGGCGGATCCAGAATGGACGGACACAGTGTGAGAAGCGGGTACCTCAAAACACGACCAATCTGCGCCACTTCCGATGGAATTACGAGTAGACGGACAGGGTCAGGAGCCAAAGCAAGTAGATATTCTGGTAGAAAAGGATCAAAAGTACAGATTCCGCAAGCGACCGAGATGGTCGAGTGCTGGAAAGAAAGGGATGGCACCTGGGCTGAATGTGCTAGGTAAAATCAATTTGGGGTGTGCCGAACTTAAGCCGTATATATATATATATATATATATACATAGTGACAGGAGTTTGGTCTGGTCCGCGGGGTACGCGCGGACCACACGCGTTGCAGGCTGTGCTCCCATGCCGCAGCTAGCCAGCGAGAGTTGAAAGCCAAGAAGGAGAGCTCAACTCACGAGACGGATGAAAGCATTGGTTGGCCCCAGGGGGAAGCAAATGTATCATACACCCTGTAGAGAGAGCATCGATCGTAGGCATCGAGCTGCGTTTGCCCTGCACCGACTGCTTCCCTCACAAAGGTTTCGAGTCAGAGCAAGCCACTCCTTCCGTGACTTTCGTCTTGTCCGTCCCACTACTCTCCAAGCGAGTCGAGTGGCACACCAAGTGTGCGAGGCGGTGTCTGACGAGTCGCGAGCCCACCTGGTTATACAACCTGTGACATCTGCACCGCCCGTTCACAGGTAGCCGCGGCTTAGAGCATAGCACTCGGCTCTACACTGTCGTCTGCAACGACCACGACAAATTTGAACATCACGACAAGCCAAGGCGGCGCTTTCCCACCATCACCCCCCCCCGCCCCCCGCGGAGCATTCTCTTCTAGCAACTCCGTCCTTCTGTTCGTCGGCGCCATGCTGCATGCGCCGCCCCACCCCGAGCCGCAGCACACGTAGAGCGCACTTACGTCCTGAGAGGGCCCATTGGCGAGCGTCAGCTATCAGCGCTCAGGTGTGAGGGGTTAGCCTAGCCTGGGCCCAGCATGGCTGCCAAGCAGCGCGCCGCGTTTGCTTTCTGGCAAGAAAAGGAGCAGAAAGGCACTGTTTCCGTTGCTGCTGCTGCAAGTGGAAAAGGGGGTGTTGACGGTGTTGCTGGTGGCAGGAGAACAACACGCAAGCTGTCTGAGGCAACGAGCAGCGAAGATCCTGCGGATGCGGTCTTGACAGGCACCGTCGCCGGGTCGGGGTCTGGAGCTGGGGCTGCAGCTGGAAGGAGAGCTGGGACCACACCATCGCCGGCGCTAGCCTCGGGACGAGCCGACTCGCCAACATCTTCTTCTCCTCCTTTTTCACCATTGCTGGCATCGCCCGCTGTCGCCTCCCTACCGGGCAAGCATGGCGGCAAAGCCAGCCCGAATCCACAACAGCAGCAAGCCGCGTCGCCAGCTCTTCCCAACAGCGGTGCTGCTGGTCCCACGGTTCTACCGCATCCTGGAGTGCACGCGCGGAACGTCTCAGGCGCTAGCAACCGCTCTGATGGCTCACACCCCAGCGCTGCCAAGCACCAACAGCAGGACCGGAGCGACGGCATCTTCCCGAACCTTGGGCGCCAGCGGAAGAGCAGCGCCGCGTCCGACTATGGCCGGGCGTCTGCGAGCACGAGCGGTCCGGCCACATCCGTAGCAGCAGCACTAGCAGGTGCCAGCTCTCCAGAGACGACGCGTCCACCTCTTGTCGGCAGCAGCGGTAGCGGCGGGGGCCAGCGCTCGCACACGTCGACCAATGCCACCATCACCGAAGGCTCCGATGCCGACGCAGCCACCTCATTCAGTCCGGCGTCCGCGTCACCGTGGACGTCGCTTCCACGTTTGACCCGCAAGGCAAGCTCCTCCGCCAATACCACCAGCTCGTCCAGCTCTTCCGGCCGGATCTGGGGCGCAGCTGCAGTGGGCGCCGCCGTTGCGGCGCCCACGGCCTCGTCGCACGATGATGCGAGCGTGCAAGCAGAGATGGAGGCAATCAATGCGGTCGATAGGGATGCGGAGCACGGTTCGTCTGGCTATGTTCCTGATGGCAAAGGCAGCGGCGGCGACGAGCGGCGTTCGTCGCGACAGAGCGCGCGGAGCGGCTCGAGTGGCACCGCGGCGCGCAACCTCTCGTGCGTGCAGCGGAAAGACAGTAAGAGCGACCTGGCCGCCAAGAGTGCGAGCTCGCACTCTCACTCGTCGTCGCCGTTGCCCTCGCCCTCGCGGGGTGTGTCGCCAGGAGTGTCGGCGCCTGTGGCGCTGCCACGCTCGTCGCGGCACCGCATCCTGACGACGGCGGTGCATGCACAGGCCGAGGTCGAGGAGGCACTGTCTCCCGTCTCGCTAGATGCGTATGGACGCCGCTCCTCGTTGAAGTCCCACTTGAGCACCGCATCGTCCACCGGCTCCTCCCGCCCGTCGTCGAGCACCCGTCACCTCCACGGCATCCCGGCGTCGTTGCACGAGAAGATGAGCGACCAGGATGAGCATAACAGCGTTGGTGACGGCGAAGATGAAGAGCATGGGCAGGGCGAGGGAGAGCAAGAAGATGAGAAGGGGGAGGAGGAGCATCATGCGCTGCTGTACAAGTCGATGCCTTCGACATCGATCCAACCCAATCAACAACAGCTATCTGGCGCGCCGCCTTCGTCCGCTGCGGTCAGTTGCTTCAGACTTGGTGACAGGCTCTTGCCGCAGGCGCAGGCTAACACCAGTGCGCTAATTACAACTGCAACTGCAACGTCGCCGACCCTTCCGCAGCGACAGGGGTCGCTCACATCGCTGGAGCACCGCATGCCCCAGCTGGGCCTGCCCATCGGCCACGGCGACGGCTTGCAGGCCCGACACAGCTCGGCCACCTCCATCGAGTCGGAGACGCTTAACGGCCTCGGCGTCACGCTCAATGCGAGTGAGCACGAGGGGCCGGGCGGTCTGCAAGGCGGTACGGGCTCGAAAGCAAGCGACATCGTTACAGTGGGTGACGAAGCAGATACCTCCGCCTCAGCCTCATCTCGCGTGCCTGGGGAGCGGGCAGCCGATGACCGGATAGGAGAGGACGCCGCAGAGCGGACGCGACGGCGCCGCAAGCTGTTCGTTGAGGAGGTCAGGCGGAGAAGCGCCAAGCTGCGCGCCGAGCAGACTGGCAATTTCTCCTTTGTCAGCGACATGAGCGCGAAGGCTTCGTTGTTGATGGATCGTCGGAGCAGTAGCCAGTCCGGTTCTGGTGCTGATGCGAGTGGCGGCAGAAACAGCGGCGGCAACTGGGTGACCTCCCTGGAAGGCAGCAGTAACTGGATGGAATCAGACTCGGACCACATGGCGCACTCTGACGATTCGCAGGATAATAGAACCAATGGCAACGCCGCTGCCGCTGCCACTGCTGCTGCGCTCGCCTTGCGTCCGCGCATCATTCCTCAACACTTACGCCCTGCGAAGCAGCCGCGCTCGGTAGCACGTGCGTGCCCCAACAAGAAGGAGGCGAGTGAAGGCAGCGCGGCAGCTGCGTCCCATCAATCTGTGCAGGATTCATCGGCAGAGGCAGAGTCAAGCGTGGATGAGGACCAATTTGTCGATGCCCTAGACAGCTCCCGACCTGAATCGCGGCTCGGAAGCGGCGAAGCAGCCCCATCGCAAGAGGGCAACACACGGCGCGCCGAGAGCGAGAGCGAGAGCGAGAAGAGCGATGGATCTGTCTCCAAGCCCTCCTCGCCGCTGCTGCCACATTCAGCGACAGTCCTCAGCATCAGTCCAGACGGTCTGCTCGGATCTTCAGGCGGCGCCTTGCTGATCCGCACACGCTCTCGCATCAGGAGCGCCCTCCCTCCTGCGGCGCCCACTCCCACACGCCCGCTACCCGAGCTGCCGCAGCCTGGCACACCTCGCGCGCCCAACTTTGCGCAAGTGCCTCCCGCTGCTCTCACGCGCAGCGTAAGCGAAGAGACACCCCACAACGCGGCGTCCCGTGGGGCGGGCTTGACTGAAGGTGAAGAAGGTGGCAGCGCCGCTGGCGGTCGAAGAGGAGCAGACGGAGAAGGAACTCGGGTCCAAGAGACAGAAAATGAAGATGGCTCACAGACTGCAAAGCCTGAAAGGGCATTCAAGACCGCCACATCATCCTTGCTTTGGGGCAGTGGCACGATTCGAGGCAGACGGCGTGGCGCGACGATCGGCGCTGTGCCCGCTGCTTCTGCACCGAACCGCCAGGCTGCGCGCGCACGACCGCGTCCGCTCCTGAGCCAACAATTGGCGCTGCCGGGGTCCGTGTCTGATGGAGAGGATGCTTCGGGCCGCGCTTCGCGGAGCTTGGCTCCAAGCGGCTCCACTTCTGCAAGTCGGAGCGTGTCAGGTAACTCAAGCGCGGCGACAACGCTGCCGAACGAGTACGAGGATGGGGTCGAAGAGATTCCGTCACGAAGCGGCTCAACGGACCGGCGCCAGTCATTTGCACCTAGCGACCGAAGTCACAGCGCTAGCAATGCAAGCCTGCTGCAGCAGGTGTCGCACCCGCAGAGTCACGCCAGCTTTGTCATTGCCGTTGTCGGGCACCACTTCGCCGGCAAGTCGACTGTCATCAAGAAAGGCTTGCGGCAGTTCGGTCTCTCCAAGCCTAATGTGCTCTCGGACAAGGTAACGTCGCACTCCACAGTCTGCGTAGTCGACCAGGAACAGCGAACTATCGAAGTTCTAGAGATCGACGCGTCTGCTTTGCTGATCGGCCCCAACAAGCAATTTGCATGGCCCAAGTCGCTGCCGCCCATCGATGCTGTCATTCTCTGCTACGATGCAAGCCATTTGCCGTCCTTTAGAGGCATGTCCGATCTACTTGGTGGGTAGCACCGAAGAAACCGCTCAGGCCCAGGCATCCTACTGACTTCGCTCGAATTTGCAGAGAATTTCCACGCCCACCAGCTGAGCACTGTCATGCTAGCATGCAAGTCAGAGATCCATCCGAAAGCGATCGATCCGTTCCATGCGAGCGAGATGGCAGCCGTCTGCAATGTAGGGCTGGCCGAATGCACCTCTCAAAGTGAGGAGGGCAAGAAACGAATGCGAGACTGCTTCTCTTATCTCGTCAAGGAGGTCGCCAAGTCAAGGACTGGGCGCAACCGTCGCAATTTGAACATCTCAACGTCACGCAGCGCATCGATGGCAACTCCAACCAGCCCTGTAGTCACGACGGCGGAGGAAAGCATGCAACAGGCGCTGCCGGCACCGATCCATCTGACCAGAGGGCGGAACGATAGCATCGCAAGTTCGCAGGCAGGGTCATCGTCCTCTGCGACTGAACCGAGTTCCTTCAATGGTAGCATCCGACCGAGCACTGGAGGTGGTGATACCAGCAGCAGTCCCACAATCGCAAGCCCTCAGCTTTTCGCCGCTGACGGCGTATCAGTCGCCACTGAAACCGAGACCCTCATTAGCCAGCCGCGGTCTGGCGCTGGCCAGCAGGGCTCGGGCTACGTCGATATTGAGGAGCTGTGGGACAAGTTCTTCTTTGCAGCCGTTTCCGGCAATGGTATGTTACGCATCTAAGCAGTTGGGGCTAGGCGATAAAGGCTCACATTTTTCACCCTCTGCAGATCCAGCTTTCCTCCTCACCTTCATGGTGTTTTATCGTGGCTTTGCCAAGCCCATCGACCTGCTCGTGCAGCTGGCGTCTCGCTTCGAATCCCTGGCAGAATCCGCCGATGAGGTGGATATTCTGCTGATTCGCTTCAGTCTGATGAGGTGAGCGCGCCTTAGCCTTGCCTTGACTGTCATATTATTCAACACTCCTTCCCCAACAGACTCGCATCAATGCTTGGGGACTGGGTGCAAGACTATCCCGGCGACCTCAGTGCGCCGGAAACTTACCCGTTGATGGTGAACTTCTATCGGCGCTTGCTACAACACCCTCATACCGTCCATACCGCAGCGCCGCTCCAGCCTTTTATTGAAGCCGCTAAGTTCGCTCCCGATCTCGACTTGAACTGGAGCAAGCGCACAGCTGCCGAAGCGGAGCCAACCCACTCGGCCCCGGGCACCCCCGCCTGCCGCCCATTGCTCCTAGACTCGCATACCTCGGACGTGCATTCGCTCGCCTCGTCCACGTTGGCTACCATTAGCCCTTTGGTTTCTGTGCCCTCACTGACTCCAGCAGCCACTGGCTTGCACGACGAGCTTGAACCGCATGAGAGCGCATTTTCTGCTCCAGATTCTGACGATGCTTCGAATGGGCGACTCAAACTCACACATCCCGGTCAAGGACGCCATCGGAGCGCATCTGATCTGACCTTGTCTTCAACTGAAGGTAGCAATCCGAGCGCGCGTGGCACTGCCACTTCAGCAGCAGCAAGCACATTCAACATTCCTGCGGTCATTCCTCCAGCGCCTGTCGGTTCACTCAAACAGCTGGACCTACAGAAGAATGCACTGCGAAGCGTTTCGAATGCACTCGGGTTGGTAGACGACATGCTCATTGCTGCGGAGCTGACCCGCCTGGAGTGGAACCTCTTCTCCAACATCGGCCCCCGAGACTTGCTTCGCCACATTCTCATCCCCAGAGAACAGAGGGAGCCAAATGGTCCGGTCGCCAAGTCGATCGCCCACTTCAACTACGTTTCTTCCTGGGTCGGATCGATGATCTTGGTGCAGATTAAGGCCAAGCAGCGCGCTCGCATGCTGGAAAAGTTTATGAGCATCGCGTCCATCTTACGCCGCGACAACAACTACAACACGTTGCAGAGCGTGCTTGCCGGCCTCGGGAATACGTCGGTGCATCGCCTGAATCAGACTAGAGAGCTGATCAACACCAAGCCAGTCATGAAGACCTACCAGAGTCTGACGAGGCTCATGAAGAGCGATCGCTCCTTTGCGGCGTATCGGTTAGCATTGGAAAATTCAACTGGACGCACGATACCCTTCTTGGGTGTTCACTTACAAGACATTCTGTCCCTCTCGGATGGCAACCCGTCGAAGCGTGAGAGCGACGGCGCTGTACATTGGCGCAAGTTTAGCCTTATGGACGAGGCGGTCATGGCCATTGTCAAGTGCCAGCAGTATGGCCGCTCGGCCTCACCGAACTCTGGGATTGAACAACTCATCATGGATGTTCCAGTCATGGATGAGGATGTGAGTATAGCACGAGGATATGTGGCAAGTTGCTGGACTGACACAAGTACTTCGGCTTTCAGACCCTATGGGAGCGGTCGCTTGCTGTCGAACCGCGGCACGCGACAACAGGTCCCAGGAACATCATTCGCAAGATGCAAGGCACAGTCTAATATAACGACCGCCTACGATGCTTTGCCCGTGTTCGTCTGCTTTCCCGTGTTTTATGTATTATTTACTGCTCTACAACACGCCAGTCATTGAGTGTACGATCAGAATTCAAAGCCAGACTGCCTGAACTCGTTGAGGTTGGTGCCAATATGGGCCTTTTGGGCCAGGTCCATGCGGTCCATTCCGAGGACTGTTTAGAGCATGAGGCGTCAGACTGTTGAAGCAGGCGATGCTAGCTCCTCATACGACTCACAAATCCTCCGCAGGGTGGACCACAGATTCTGGCTCTCCTGCGCTTCAGACAGCGGTGTCGGCGATGGTTCTTGGCCAGTCGGCACGTCAGGAAGAGCGTGGCTTTGCTGCAAAGCGAGCGCGGCGAGGAGATGCTCTGCTGCCTCGTGGTGAGCGCCAAGGTTTAGACCTGTTTCGAAAGAGGAAAGAATAAGTAAAACGGCCACAACGGCCATATGTAGGAACGTGACTCACAGGAGACGCTCAAGTTGTAGATCGCCCTGGTGAAAGTAGGCCGTAGCTCCAATGCCTTCTGGTATGCCTCGATCGCCTCCTCTGGCTTGCCGCCATTCGCGAGCGTGGCGCCGAGTCTGTTCCAGAGCAAAAAATCGTTCGGCCGGACCTGGAGCGCCGACTCGAAACAGTCCTTTGCCTGGTTGTAACTACTGTTAGAATAGAACAGCACTCCAAGGCCGACTTGCACCTCCGGGTCGATCGTGCCCTTTGCGGCGCCCTCGCGAGCGGCAGCCAAGAACATGTCTGTGACGCGGTTGAGCGAGGCCCATGGGTTGCCGGCTGTCCCTTCGATTGGGTCCGCTTGGCCATTGATCGCATCTGGCAGCGGAGCGGCTTTAATGTGCGGATAGGCTCGCTGAATGTAGCGTTCAAGCGTTGCGTGCGCAGCTGCATCGTATCCTTCATTGGTGTACGAAATGGCAAGCGACTGTGCGCGGGGGGAGGCGATGGGGGATATAGTCAATTACCGCAACAAATCTGCCAGGGGAAGCCTCTTGCACTCACCATGTAGGCCTCGAGATTGTTCTCGTCGATCTTGATGGCTTCTTCGAGCGCTTTGATGGCCGGAATTTCGCGCTCATTCATCGCCTGCGCCTCGCCGAGACGTCTCCAGGCCTCACTGCGCTCACGCCGGCTGCGGTCTACTTCACCCTGCTCTCCACCAGAGCCGCCTTGGACGTCGCGCTGCGTGGCCGCTTCAAAAAACAGTGCCGCATCTGCGAGGGAGCCTCCCGAGGAGAGGAGTCGCAAGCCCTCGGCGAGAGGGTTGGCATGGTCGGCGAAAGGGTTTTGCTCTTGTAAGCGGTACTCTCCAAGCTTGGGGAAGCCATCCGCGCCGACAGATCCGAAGCTATTCATCAGTCGCTCCTCCATGCCACTCAAACCGCCAGTTTCCTCCAGGCCGGCGACTCCTGGACCGAGCCCGCCACCAGGGTGGTTGAAGCCAAAGTGACCCATGCCATTCTTGCGCAGCAGCTCTTCCTCCCACTTGGCAAGCTCTGCGTCCGCATCAGCGCTGCTGGACTTGTCGGCATTGGGCGAATGCATACTGTTCCAAAGCTCCTCGAAGCGATCGGACGCCTCCTTACCATCGATCGTGACGTCCCTTTCCAGGTCGTCCAGGGCTTTGCGAATTCGAGCTTCTTGGTCTGCCTCTGAGAGTTGCTCCTCCCCTTTCTCTTCCGCTTTGACCTTGCCTTTGCCCTTGTCCGTTGCTGGAGCTTGATGTTCAGCGTCCAGCTTGGCGAACTGCTCCTCCCACTTGGCATCATCGAGCTCGACAAAGCGTGATGACTGCACTTGCGGCTGCAGCTGCTCTTGTTGCTGGTTGAGCGAGCTCATGGGGCGCTGGTACATGCCAGTCATACCACCAAGGCCCATTCCCATTCCCATACCGGAAGAGAAGCTGGACATGGTATGTCTATGCATGCCAGCCATCTGCTCCATGCCTGGTGCGCCACCGCCACCGCCGCCCGCTGGGTTGCCTAGACGCTGATGCTGCTGATGACGCTGGAACTGCTCGTGCCATCCAGTCGCAGTTGACGAAACTTGAGCGGCTGCAAGCGGTGGCATGGAAGATTGCGCACCAGGCGGCTTGAATGCTGCGTTCATATCCGCAGGTGTGATACCTACTGCGACGCCAGCTGCTGGCGGCCTGCTAAATCGCATGGCGTCCATGTGGTGCTTCATGTCACCGAGGTCGAATGTGCCTCCTGAGCTGCTTGCAGGCTGCTGCTGTTGCTGCCAAAATTCAGCGGCGCCCCCGCCCGAGCCTCCAGGTACGCCGTTGCGTGCAGTGCGGAAGCCCGAAGGCCCGGCAATACCAATCCCGCCTTGCAAGCGATCTTGCTGCAACGAGCGATCATCCTGGGTGTGCTTAAGGAGTTGGTTGAGAGCGCTCGAGCCGGTCGCGCACTCAGCACCGGAGAGCATTGACTGGAATGTCATCTTTACCCCTCTTCACCAGCGGTTCTGGATAGGCGGGGAGGAAAGAGGCGAGGCTGCTGAGTTGAGATGTGCTTATATCCAAATGCCGATGCGGAGGTCATGCGTTGATGGGACCTGTAGCCCTTTAGCGGAGAGAGAAAGGGAGAGCGAGCAATGGACTCTGAAGCGTCCAATAGTCTGATGGCAACCCTGTGAGGCTGCTCTGAGCAACAATGCAGACATTGACGACGGGGAAGAAATACAATGATAAGAGGCTAGGCTCCAATTCATATATAGCAAGCAAGCACTTAATAGACCAGTGATGTGAACCCGGAGGCCGGCACAGCAGGCAAGCCGGCGAATAGAACACAGTGCGCTAATGCGCGTGGAAGGATCCCAAAGGGGACTCCCCTTCACAACCCTGGTCCAGTGTCTGGACCTCATCGATCTGTGATCCACTCAGCCCCCGCTCTCTCCTGTTCGCAGTAATAGGCCCGAAGCGTCTCGCTAGCTCCTGTGCCACAACCCACAGCCCACAGGTGACCCCAGTGATAGGGAAACTCATAGCCAACTGACACTTGACTTTCCAATGCTCTGGCGCGATGCATCATCGGAGATGCCATTCTCTGTGACACCTAGGAGCCAGCAAGGCCCGACAAACCCTCACAGGCAAGCGTTCATCCGGATAACTCCATGGTTATGCAAATCCCACGCGCAGATGTGCGTCGCATCGCTGGAGAACAGCGGCGCAGCAGAGGGCATCTTGCTCTGGAATGCGAGCAAGTTGCGAGCTCGGAAGAGGGATTCAGGTGCTTCCCGTTTCCGGAATGTATACTATTGCCTGCAATGATGCCATAGGCCAGAGCTAGCATCACGCGGTCGGCCACATGCTGTCAACTTATGACGTATGCCAATAGTGATCTTGATTCTACGGGTGTTGCTGCAAGCGTTCCAGTGATGCCGCAATTGATGAGGCTGTAGACTTGGTATTTAATCAAGGTCGCTCGAGAAATAGTCGTCATAGCCGAACAAATCATAACCCGTGTAGACAGGACTCAGTAAATGTTTTCAATGAGATTAATTGGAAGCATGGATATGTATACACTTGAGCAGAAATGCGTGTTGCCAAGAGGTATGACAATGAGCAAGAGGAAAAGATAAGAGAGGAATGAGCGCCTGCGACCGAGAGTGTAGTGGAAGCGGCACTCGCGACATCCCCGCCTTGCAAGCAAGGACAAGAGGGAGCCAAAGAGCGGAAAGAGTTGTATGACAAGTAATCTGGACAGTGTCCAGAGTAACAGTTGTCAAACTGTTAAGAACAGATACTACACTTGATCTAAGCCATATGGCCAGAAGAGTGGGGAAAGGAGAGAAAGAAAGATCAA